TGAAAAATAAAAAACAGTTTCATACCTCCCACTAGTTAGATTTTTTCTTTTTTAATGTTTTCTATTATTGTCCTTACCAAGTGGTGAAGTAAATAATAATTAGTAACGGATACATTGTACTTTTATTATGCTGATTAATATAGAATACACTTATAAAAATAATTGTTTTATTGTAGGGTTCCATCAAGTATTTTGCTTCCCAAAAGGGTTCCGTCATTTAAAAAGTTTGAGAACCACTGCCTTAACGTAAGTCGGCGAATATACTTGTTATATGCTTAATTAATCTGCTTGTACGTAAAAACGCATTAGTATCCTACCTAATACTTACAAAACCTGTCTATAACATATTTTTAATTTTACAGTTGGAGAATGACGTCGAAAATTAGATAAAGTTTAAAATGTGTGGCACAATCTTCACATTGGCAGGACTGAACCAAGCTTTGCGTTTCATATAAAATAACTGTAACACGATAACCTTCTTTACGTACTTTATGCTCCGGAGAACTCGACCTTTTACTGTACATAATTCTCCATCCCTTTTAATTTGGACATAGCCGATTGCATTATCGCCGTAAGATTTGTAGAAGCCGCTGAATAAAATACGAAGTTTAACAACTACGATTTTTACATACCGTAGTAATTTAGTCCCTTTCATTTCTACACTTAAAAACTCTGCACTTTGGACAAAAAAAGTTATAACCATGTCAACGCTAACTTTTGGTAAATTCCTGGAGTCTGCTTTGATAAACGCAACTTCCATTTTTATTAAATGTAAAAAAACGCAATAAATATTCCCATAAAATAATATTTACTTTAACAACCATAACCTCAAAGAAGTTGTCATAACAGGAGTGACGTCACTAAACGCTGATTGGTGTTTTAAAATACGTTCCGTTTCAAGTATTTTTAATTCGTAATAATTGTTAAAAAACAACATTATGTAAAATAAAAACGTAGCAGTGGCATTTCTTTTATATTTTTTTAACATTTTAATCATAAAATTTTCATAAATATTATATATGCATCTTCCCTATTATGCTTTGATTTTGTTCCGCTTTTACATCATATTTAGGTTTTTCTGCCTTCCACTCAGCCGGCAGGTGGAGCATAATTTTCATTTGTGCTTATTTATCCCATTTTTTTTTTTTTTTTAGTATTTAAACGTATTTATTTTATATTATTATATTATATTTAATTGATCTATGTCTTGTTCAGGGATGGATAGTGATAACTCCTTTCATTCCTTGCCATCAGTAAGCGACTGCACAGATGATAGTTTTGTAAGTTTGCCTTCTCTCCCTGACTGCCTCGATAGTACATTTTCTGATGTTCCTAAAAACTTTAACGTCGTTCACATAAATGCGCAAAGTATTCCGGCTCACTACAATGATATGCTGGCGTCTCTCAATCACAAAAATCTTCATGCTGTTTTAGTCTCCGAATCCTGGCTTAAACCTTCTCTGTCCTCTTCTTCCTATGTCTTGCCTGGTTTCCGTATGATACGTAATGATCGCATTGGCTCTCGAGGTGGTGGAGTTGCAATTTATTTACGTTCTCAAATTCCATTCACTATTATTAGCACTTCTACACAGCCTCCTCCAGTTAATGCTGGCGAGCATTTGTTTATCGAGATTCTGCTATCACATACCAAAGTCCTACTCGGAGTCTATTACAGCCCCTCTTTAAATGTTAACTTCTTTAGTTCTTTTGAACAGCTCTTGGGAGATTATGTACCATCTTATACCCACTCATTGATAATGGGAGATTTCAATACCTGCCTTCTAAAAAATGATTCTCGTGCAACCTCCCTTCAATCTGTTGTAAGATCTTGTAATCTGCATATTCTTCCCCTTAGTGCCACTCATCATTTTCCAAACACTTCTCCTTCACTTCTTGACTTAATAATCGTCTCTGCTCCTCATCTTGTTATGAAGCATGGTCAATGTTCGGCTGATGCTTTTTCATACCATGACTTAATCTTCTTGTCCTACAAAATTCGTCCTCCCAAAGTTAAGCCCAAAGTCATTCTTCAGCGTAATTTTGGTGGTATGGATAGGGACGCGTTTCTTGATGACGCTCAAAATACGGATTGGTCGTTGGTAATTGGGGAGGTGACCGTCGACGAACAAGTTGAGAACTTTAATAATATAATTACCGAGCTTTATAACAAGCATGCTCCTTTTCGTCCCATCAAGCTCAAACACGTTCCAGCGCCGTGGCTTACTCAAGAGATCAGGGCCCTAATGCATAAAAAAGACGTTGCTAAAAGCAAATATAAACATCGCCCGACCGATTATAATAAAGTCAACTATGTAAAAGCTCGAAATCGCTGCAATTTGGTGTGTAGGGATGCCTTGCGTCGCCATATTCATGATTCTGTCGATAATAAAGATCCAGCAAAAGTCTGGAATTTTCTCAAATCACTTGGAATTGGTAAGTCCCGACACGATTCTACTCCTAGTAGCATCAGCGTAGATTCTCTCAACATTCAATTCTCTTCCTCTTCTAGTCTCAGTGACTCTCAGAAGTCTTGCACTTTAAACTACCTTTCTTCGTTACCAATTCCTGACTACTCTCCTTTTGTCTTTACTCAATTCACTGAATGTGACGTTAAGAATAGCATGCTTTCTATCTCTTCCAATGCGGTGGGGAATGACGGCATCAGTCGAAACATGTTGATACCTATCCTGGATATTATTCTTCCTATCCTTACCTTCCTTTTTAACAGCTCGATTTACAACGGAGTCTTCCCGTCAGTTTGGAAACAAGCCCAAATTATTCCTCTTCCTAAAAGATCGAACCCTCAAACCATGGTCGATTTTCGTCCCATTTCTATCCTTCCCTTTCTAACTAAGGTTCTTGAACGTCTTATCCATAACCAGTTGAATACATTCCTCACTCGCCACGATCTTTTTAATCCTTTCCAATCCGGTTTCCGTCCTGGCCATAGTACAACGACTGCGTTACTTAAAGTAACCGATGATATACGCTTTGGGATGGATAACGGTCTCCTTACGGTATTAACATTGTTAGACTTTAGCAATGCTTTTAACACTGTCGACTTTGAGGTTCTTTTAGCATTGCTGCGCTCAATTAACGTATCTCCATCAGTGATTGAGTGGTTTCGCAGTTATCTGCATGGGCGCAAGCAGCGCGTTCGCCTCGAGGAGAAATTTTCTTCATGGAGCGAAACGACTGCTGGCGTTCCCCAAGGCGGCGTCTTATCTCCTCTTCTTTTCGCTGTATTAATTAACTCCGTTTCAAACAATATTTCTTCTTCCTACCACCTATATGCAGATGACTTACAAATCTATTGCCAAGCTCCTCTTGGTCAACTTGATGAAGCAGTGCGGTGTACAAACAGTGATCTACATGTGATTTCTAAGTGGAGCAAATCTTTTGGGTTGGAAATAAATCCCTCCAAGACAACTAGCATAGTAATTGGTAGTTCTAGAATGTTAGATAGAGTGGACTGGCAGTCACTACCCAACATCGAAATTGCTGGAAATGTTATCCCTTTTAGTACGTCAGTAAAAAACTTAGGATTAACGTTTGACAACTGTATGAGCTGGGGCCCGCAAATGCAAGTGGTCAGTTGCAAATTGTATGCTTCAGCAGCGTCAGTTAGGAGACTACGTAATTTTCTACCCGTCACCACCAAAATTGCCTTAGCACAATCTTTATTGCTTCCTATACTTGATTATGCTGACGTCTGCTATCTCGATCTCACGGAGGACCAGCTTAATAAACTTGAGCGACTTCAAAATTTTTGTATCCGCTTCATATTTGGCTTGCGCAAATATGATCATGTTTCTCAATTTCGTTCACAGCTCAAGTGGCTACCTATTCGCCTTCGCCGGAATACTCATATCCTTTCTCTTCTTTACAACATATTGTTCAATCCTAAGTCCCCGCGCTATCTAAAGGAAAGTTTTAATTTCCTTCATAATTCTAATACGTTATCTTTAAGGTCATCAGAAAATCTTGCTCTTATGACTCCCGCACACGGCACAACTTTTTTCCACCGTTCGTTTGCAGTGCAAGCCGTACATCTATGGAATTCTCTTCCGGTTTCGATAAGACGTGCGGAAACTATTAATGCGTTTAAAAACCTTGTGAAGTCCCACTATCTGACGTTGTAATACTTTTATTTTTAATATCTCATGTTCTAAAAACTGGACTAGATCAATGTATGTATTTATAGTTATTGTATCTATGTATGTATTTATGTATGTATATATATCTTATATATGTATATGTGTATGATATGTATTTACTAATAGATTATATTATACTAGCGATTTACACCGCCGTCTCTCCCACTTCCTTCTAATCCTCTCCATCCAAAGGTTGCCTGGAAGAGATCGCTTTAAGCGATAAGGCCGCCTATTGCATCACCTGTACTAAATGTTTTTGTGCAGAATGTTCAATGTTTTTCGTGGTGTTTAATAAAGAGTTTTTGTATTGTATTGTATTGTATAATTTCGATAGCCATCCCGAAACGTAACAATATTATCTTTATATTTTTTATTATTTTAAAGCATGTAACTGCTTGATGTTTAAATCTAAAGAAAATATAACTAGAAAAAATTCCACGTGGACCAGGCAGCGAAAAAATTTAAAATTATAAAAATTATAACAATATTTGCTATTTCTTCTTTCAAATGCTTAATACTTGTAATAGTATTCATTTGACATTGTGGGTTACCTATAATGCGAAGGGATGGCGCTGCCTTGCAGCTTAAGAATGGCTAGAAGAATTTCGACGCGGTCCGTGAGGGCCGCGGTAGCATAATTGGCCAATATTATATTTATTATAAGATAAAAACTATTTATTGCACAACACAGTAACAAAACAAGCAGAATACAAAAACAAAGAAAAAAAATATACTATTACACATAGGGTGGTCTTATCGCTAATGAGCAGTTTCTTCCAGGCAACCCAATGAGCTGGTAATAAAAGATTTTTAAGATGTTTATGAAGACACGAAGCAACCCACCTTTTTGAGTCTGACAGTGACTTGATGAGTGAAGTAGTCAGCGTTGTGTTGTATGAGTTGACTCACTCCTTCATGTCCCAACGCTAGAGCCATGTCGTTCAATGCCTTCACTCCTGATAGGTGGAGAAGCTCGTATCTACTACCTGTTATTCAAATGCAATAAAACGAAATTACACTTTATTCATCATCATCATCAGCCTATTCATGTCCCCACTGCTGGTGCACAGGCCTTCCCTATGGATGGAATAGGGAGATTGGGCCATGACCCACCACGCGTGCCCAGTGCGGATTGGTGGGTGCTAACGGCTGGAGATGCAGTCGAGATCAACGGCTTTACGTGCCTTCCGAAGCACGGAGGAGCTCGAGATAGTAAATTTTTGGTCACCCATCCAATGACCGACCACTGCGAAAGTTGCTTAACTTCAACGATCGCAGCCGAACGCGCGAACCACCTACGCCAACGAGTTCCTCAATTTGTTGAATATATATATAATATAAATATATAAAATTCTCATGTCTAGGTATGCGTAACTGAACTACTCCAAAACGGCTCGACCGATTTTCGTGAAATTTTATATGCATATTCAGTAGGTCTGAGAATCGGACAACATCTATTTTTCATCTCGCTAAATGTTAAGGGTGGTCCACCCTTAAAATTTTTATTTGGACCATATTTTTTGTTTTTTTTTTTTGGATTCATCATACAAAAATACATGCAACTTTAAAGTTTCACCCTTCTACCACCAAACCCCTTTTTTTAGCTAGTAGTATCTCTTATCTATTAGACAAGTCCGTCCGTCCGTCTGTCTGTGATGCTGTTTCAGCGGCCAAACCGTAAGAGATAGATAAAGAGAATATTTAAGTTATAAGTTAAGAATAGTCTGATAACACTACAAACCGGATTTGAGTGACATAGCACTTCCGGTTTTCGAGAAATCAGGTTTTGGTGAACATTTGGTTTACTGGTTTGCTAGCTAAAAAAAATAATATAATTACCGGCACGTTCCAACGCCCTAACTCCAGCCTTCAGCAGGTATCTCTGGAATCTGTCTCCCATTCTTCTTGCAGCACCCCCCACCCCTTCCACCAGCGCACAGCATAGAAGTAGATTCCTACCCAATGCTTTACCCCCGCCACTGTTCATCCCCTCCCCTTTGTCGGGGCGGGGGCAGTCGTAGCTGATGCCGGTGAAACGGGTCTCCACTGTGCCCTCGTAAAGATCTAGAAGGAAACAAACGTTTATTGGCCCGGCGATACGTTATTTATATTTAACCCACAGAACCCCTAGCACGAACCATTATCGAATTCGAATAGTTTGCAAACCGAAATGTCAATCTAAAGAAAAGTTTACTAGAAAAAAAAATCCACGCGGACCAGGCAGCGGACGGGACTCGAACCCGCATCCTTCGCAATCCGGGCGAATGCACTGACCATTATGCTACCACGGCCCTCTTAGCCGCGTCGAAATTTTCCTAGTCTTAGGCTGCAAGGCTACTTTTCTTTAGATTTAAACATCTAGCAGTTAAATGCTTAAAAATAAATAAAATCGAAATATCAATGTCAAATTTTGTATGGAAACTTAAACAGCATCGGCACAAAGTACGTAACGAGAACTAAAAACCAGTACACATTTGACAATGACATTTCGGACTCGCAAACGATACGAATTCGATATTGGTTCTGTACCCCAGAACTCAGAATGAGGTAAGAAGGATAACAATAGACTGTTTGTACGGGAACCGATGTCGCCGGCTCACTCCTGCTATACTTCCACCTAATAGATAATAGCCAATCAAACGACGCGACGTCAAACAATCGAACCAATTAGCGCTCACATCCGAGAGCAACGACGCAATCAGAGTTTTGGTCAAGTTACGAGCATTTGCTCACACATAACTATAGCGCGCTTGCCACGCCTAAAAGGCTTCTAACCTTTTTCTGTGTTCTGTTAACCAATCAAAATGCGGTTTACTCGCCCTGCACGCCGGCAACTTTGGCGATTTATTAAAACAATAATAAATTTATCAATTTTAAGAATACATTAATTGAATAATGTAAAAAGGTACTGTGTGGTTTGTTTGTGGTATTTGTCAAAAAATCATTTGTCAACTTTGTTATTATCATTTTTGTGAATATTAACATTGATTTTGAATCTTATGGTACTGTAACGTCCGTTACGTTACTGCCTCCTTGTTTAGGTAAACTCTTTGCTCTTGCGATGCCTACGGTTGGCAGTTATATTAAAAAGTTAATGTCATGATTTTAAGATTTAAAATAAGGAATCGTCTGTCTCTTGATAGAAGGTTCCATACAAGAGACGATCTTTAGGCACCAAACCTCTCGTAGTTAGATAAAAATAATTATATTCGCCTGAATGAAATAAATAACTTATCTCTACCAGTATCTTTTAATTAGTAATTACGTCCCCTGAGTTCTATCCACTCTGGCTAGAGCTCCTCAGTACTATGTTTAGTTAGGAATAACGGACTACGAATTGGAATTTAGCGCCATAGTAACTCTTATTTAGCTCTATAATACCTATCCAACGATGTGACTCACATAGCTATTGGAAGGTGGGACTATAGATGTAAAACAACCGATTTAAAACGGTTTTCGACAAGATGTGGCCGTTTAAAACCCCAAATAAATAGTTTTAAACGGTTGAAAACTGGCATACAAAAATAAAAGAACTATGTTTTTTACACTTCATTATAGTCAATTTTTGGTCACCTGACGTCATGTTTCGTTTTACTTGGTAGGTATAAAGAAAATCAATAGAAAGTACCTACGTACATTACCTAGGTACCACGAAAACTTAAGTAGGTATGTAGGTACCTTCATACTTAAGCGCTTATTTAATATACATATATTATAAAACACACACTAGATTAAAATAAAAGACATCATTAACACAATGCTAAAATTTGCCAACATTTTTTTCATATTACTTTTGGTGTTGCCATCATCAACACCAATTGTTTTAAATCGAAAAAAATGGTTTATTTCGGTTTTAAACGGTTTTTGTCGTTTTAAACGGATTGGTTTAATTGGTTTTAAACCGGCCTTACATCTACAGGTGGGACCAGATTTCATACAAACCCTGGCATCATCCTTTAACATCAGCCTTCCTTCTCTATAGATAATGACAAGAATACAAAATGTTGTTAAATTTCATTTAAGGTTAAGATAATCTTTCCAGAATCGACACCAATGAAAAAAACGAGCGAGCCTTACAGTAGTCGCGTATGATGTGTAACATTTGAAACCTCACCTTATATAAGTAGAAAAAGAAATAAAACCTACTACAAAAGGAATAAGCCATTTGAACATTACGTTCTAAAATCAAATAGCGCGTGCTTCCCTAACTTCCTGTTACACACTTCCGTCCCACTTCACGTAATCACTCCCACAAATAGGGCATTTGACAGTATTATAAAGTGCCAATTGTTAGCATCTGTGTTTAGATTGAACATTGGCAGAGGTTTTTACTATTTTTATAAAAAAAATATTCATAATTTTACTAAAAACCTTCGAAAAAGATAATAGTTTTCCTATCTATAGTCACGTGACCCAAAACGCTATGGATTGGCGGAGCCTAAAATGACGTCACACGCAAGTAAACTTCCGGTTAAAGTGACTTTACATTGTATCGTTCGACGTTCTAATAACAATCGTGTGACGTCACACACTAGTAAGACGCCATATTGTCCAGAGAAACATTTTCGCGGCAACTTGAAAATGGAGTTTTTGATTTGGTTATTTTTACTGACATACACAACAGAATGATGAATATCCATTATCTTTTTACGGACTCCATAAACATTAGTCATTGAGGGCTACCGTTTTCTGTCTCACCAGATGGCGCCACTGTTGAGTGAGGTCCTAAATTGTAACTTTTAAAGTTTATTAATACGCACATGAAATCAAAGGTTACATTTAGATCGTATTTTAACACAAAAGAACCATATCCTAAACATAATAGGCCATGCCACAGTGACGCCCAGTTCCGTTTTATTCGGAAAAAATGGGAACATAATCATTTTTCTAAGCTCATATTTTTAATAACTGACATTCATTGCCACATAACTCATATTTGCCATAATTAAGCCGAATTGTTACCAATTATTCACAACATTATTTTAATAAGAAATAAACTCGCGTAGTCAACCAACAAGCAATAACATTTGACATTTCGGAGACCTCACGCTACACTAGCGCCTCTAGCCGCGGATTCATACGCGATAGCCCTCATTACGTGAGATTGTTGCCTAAAACTTGACAAATACCCTATTTATTTATTTATTTTCATTGTATTTTCCCATTGTACGAAAGCGAGAGGAAAGATGTTACACATCAATATAATAATCTGCGTAAGTTTCAACTCACCAGGCACCCTGTCGATGTCCCACGCGCGTGGATTGTAAACACTAACATCGAGTGTTCCGGATGGCGCAGATTCTTCGATTGCTGTTTCTAGGGGAGAGTACCACACGCTGTCTTCCAAGTAAGCGTCTAACACTCGACACGCAAAACTATCGTCGTTGGAACCTACAAGAGTATTTTCTTTAGATTTAAACATCGAGCAGTCACATGCTTAAAAATTAAAATTATAACTATAATTGCTAATTTAAAAAAAAAAGAAAAAAAAGCAATTATAGTTATAATTTTAATTTTTTAAGCATGTAACTGCTCGATGATTAAATCTAAAGAAAATATTTATATTTGCTCCCTTATCAACATACAGAGTACCATATATATAACACTATACAAAAAAAACTTATCTTTATTCGTAACAATGCCTCGATTAATTAAATTTGAACACCTCAACAAAGCTGAACTGATCTATGAGGTAACAATTAGATAAGAGGCTCCAACAAATACAGTCCTAGAGTTGAGAAAACAAATTCAAAGACTCTCTTCTATAACTTCGCCAGAGGATATTCTAACTTCTCCTTTCCCGTTGAATAAAAAAAAACTATAATTGCTATTTCTTCTTTCAAATGTTAATACTTGTAAAGGTATTCATTTGACATTGTGGGTTACCAACAATGGGAAGAGATGGCGCTGCCTTGCAGCTTAAGAAAGGCTAGAAAGGATTCGACACGGCCGTCAGGGCCGCGGTAGCATAATGGTTAGTGCATTCGCCCGGATAGCGAAGGGTGCGGGTTCGAGTCCCGTCTGCTGCCTGGTCCGCGTTGAATTTTTTCTAGTAATATTTTCTTTAGATTCAAACATCGAGCAGTTACATGCTTAAAAATAAAAATTATACGTACAAGCAGTTTTGCAAGTTTCATGCTGGCACTTTACTTGGCTATTTGTGTTAGCTATTTATGAACTTGACCCCGACAACTGTGTCAGCAAAATAGCGCTCGGAACACTGTCTGTGTCAGCCCTCAATTTTGATTTTCACGGCCGTAAAATGAAAATATTTGATGTGTAAATTAAAAACCATTACTAAATATGATAAAACGCAAAATATGTATATAAAAATATTTTTCTCAACACGTGGCAGAATTCTGCCATCTACACAGACAGTGGTTTTTTGACGTTGGCAGGAATCTGCCATTTACACAGACTAGGGGTTATAATATTTTGGAATAAAAAGGACAGACTGATGTCAAGTTTACAATTAGCAAACACAAATAGCCAAGCGAAGCAATTTAAATTATGTATCTGCAAAATAAACAGTCACACCGCAAAATAATTATTTGAGCAGCAACATTATAGAATAGGCAGCAGAAATAACATTTCTTAAAGCTGTGTATTTGATTGGTGTACATACATATTTAATATTTTGGAATAAAAAGGACAGACTGATGTCAAGTTTACAATTAGCAAACACAAATAGCCAAGCGAAGCAATTTAAATTATGTATCTGCAAAATAAACAATCACACCGCAAAATAATTATTTGAGCAGCAACATTATAGAATAGGCAGCAGAAATAACATTTCCTAAAGCTGTGTATTTGATTGGTGTACATACATATTTAAAATTCGGTTAGCAATATGATGGTTTGATTGCATCTGATTGAAAAATCTACTTCCCATAGAGAGAAGAAATAATAAGATACTTCCTCTTATTACCATAGAGTATAGAGTCTATGTTCAATTTAAAAAGCACTAGGTTAGATTAATATTCTGATCAAAACGCGAACGCGAAGCCCCAGAAAAACGCTTTGATAAAGGAAGGGTTGTTTATCTTTGAAAATAATATGTGTTTGCTTTGGTGGGGAAGAGGAGTTGAGGGTAGAGAGGTCGGGAGATAATCTCCACCCCCCTCCTCTACCCTACCCCGCTACCGCCCCTTAAATATTTACCGAAAATACTTTTGCTACTTATATTAGCGGCACACAATTTGATTATATACGGGTCACTCTTAATATATTTTTTGGCTGTACAAAAATTTATACTGCTGCGCAAAATTATATAAATTGCAGACAGATTAAGAATTATTTGCTGATCATAAGTTGTTGCTCAACTAGATACTTAGGGTAACCAATATTTGCTAACAAAATACGATTACTTTGCTTACCGTTAAAATAATAACACCCTTTAAAAATCATGGCAAACAAGACGCCAATGACATACTGACAGTATTTAGAGTCCTAGAAATGGCCCTATAAGAGGAGCTCGATTACGCAAGTGATTAGCGCGTTCGGTTGCAATCGTTAAAGTTAAGCAACTTCCGCAGTGGTCAGTCATAGGATGGGTGACCAAAAATCTTCCATCTCGAGTTCCTCCGTGCTTCGGAAGGCACGTGTTAAGCCGTTGGTCCCAGCCGCATCTGCAGTCGTTAGCACCCGCCAATCCGCACTGGGCTCACGTGGTGGGTCATGGCCCAATCTCCCTATTCCATCCATAGGGAAGGCCTGTGCCCCAGCACCCCGGCATTAATAGGCTGATGGAGATGAACGTCCCTCTAGTGCTAAGTGGATAGAACTATTAAATGACGTCACATCAAGTACAAGAGCTCCTCTTTGAATTTGCTTTGTGTGGGTGCATCTGTCTGATCCTAAAATCACTCACCACCAAGCATCCAGTTGATGATGCAGACAATTTCCACGGCCCTCTCCTGCTGGAACTCCTCCAGCAGTCGATCCAGTATAAGCTGGGCAGTTTCAGCGGCGCCCAGCAGTTCGCAGATCTGCTGCATTCGCTGGACGCACGCGGGATTGTCCAAGTGGCTGAGTCTCAACCACCCAGACTCTAATGGCGGCGAGATTATCAAGTCTGGTCAAATAAAAAACGGATTTAAGGTTCACTCATTAAAAGATGAAGTAATCTAATAGCATATCTTATATATAAAATTCTCGTGTCACAATGTTAGTTACCATACTCCTCCGAAACGGCTCGACCGATTTTCGTGAAATTTTATATACATATTCAGTAGGTCTGAGAATCGGACAACATCTATTTTTCATCCTGCTAAATGTTAAGTCCAACCTTAACTTTTTTGTTTGACAAAATTTTTGATTTATTTTTTCATGATAGATCATACAAAAATCCATACAACCCTAAATTTTCACCCTTCTACCACCAACCCAAATTTTTTATGGCGTTACGAAGTTAGATGAGACAGCTAGTATACTATATGTATATGAGTATGTTACACTTTTAAAAACACTCAGAACCTTTACAGATTCCGTGTTCAACAGCAAATTTTCATCGATTTTCACTAGCGTTATCCATGTCTATACTAGCTTGCGCCCGCAACTTCGTCTGCGTTAAAGTATTTTTTTTGGAAATCCAAAAAAATAAAAAATTAAAAAAAAAAAATCCGGAACACAAAGTATAGTATGTGTCAATCTAGATAATATAATGCCAAGTATCTTTCAACAGTTTTAGCGTGAAATAGTAACAAATATTCATAAAAAAATCACATATACACAGAGCGTCCCACGGGTTTCTCACAAAGAGGGAAAGTATGTTAAATATTGAAGATATACTAAGAATATATTTTACTGAAAAAAAAATATATTTATTTTTAACTAGTGGCCCGCCCTCGCTTCGCTTCGGTGTAGAGCTGTAGTGCAGACTAAAATGACTTCATATAATTATAAAAAAAAAAACTAAAAATGCTATATTTGCCTTTTCCAAACTTCTATAGACATCACGTCACTCAATTGTTTTGCCTTCCCGGAACCACTCCACTAACATTTGAAACTTATGGTATGGTATGAAAGTTCATATTGACTTTTAAGTATTATTACGAATCGTTTGTATGGGAGTATAGGAAAGTGCTGTTTTTGGACTTTTTCAGGCAATTACTATAATTTTTCTCTGCGTAAGAACCATCCTCGTACTTCAAGAAATATTCTAAAAAAAGAATTATCGAAATCGGTTTAGCTGTTCTCGAGATTTGCGCTTAGCAACACATTCAGCGATTCATTTTTATATTATAGATAATTACTAGAACAGCATTCACAGAATTTTAAACACCGCCTGCTACAATTGAGAATCAATCTCGTGAAATTTGAAAAAAAAAACATGACGTATTTTATGATAACCCTCGAAAGAGTTAATCATGAGGATTATTTTTCCTAAATAACATAGCATTTTAGATAAAAGGAAGATCATGAAATATACTTTCTCTCCGTGGGAAACAAAATAGTTGTTTTGGCATTGATCGAAATGTTTTATTTATATGTTATCGTTAGTAATATTATTTATTGTTGAAAAATTATTAAAGCTTTCGTTTCATTATAGTATTTTTTTTAAATAATCAAAGTTAATTCAAACTGTATTAAAAAAAAAAATATAAGTATGGATCAAGGTACAAACATTGAATTTTTGACGTGACAACGTCTTAAATTAGGTTGCGGCTGGGAGTCACTTATGAAAAAGTGTAACGCTCGGTAACGTTACGATGAGTCTCTCGTGTTAAGTTTAAGTTTACATGTACAATGTTTTAGTAAACAAAATATATTTCTATAGTTAAAATTTGTGCAATTCTTATTTTCATTCAATTCCTTGTTCCTATTGTGCAATTTAATTATATTCATATCAATAAATATTCTACCGAGAAAAAGACGTTACGTCACGTAAAATCTTCGCCCGTAAAACCGACTTTACAGGCAACCATTTTTTTTCAACACTGAACTTAGCGCACTCTAGGGATGCGCCGATCCGATCCGGTGATTTTCGGATCGGATCGACGCCATACGTTTTATTGCCGGATCGTTACAAAACTTGAAAGATTGGATCGCTTGGATCGTATGAATTAAAACGCGGTTTGTTTACAATAAATTGGGTAGGTACTTACTAAAGTTTCTGTTACGAACTTTATCTTTGTTTACATTTTAACTTGGCGGCATTCTTTGCAGGTGGATCCGTTAATCTTATACATTCTATTATTATAAACAAAAGTTGTACCTGATTAGGTGTGACGATTATTGATAGGTTTACCAAATAAAAATCTAAAATAATTTGTCTTATTTATTGTATCCAATCCGATCCGATTTCTTGAAGATCCGATCGACGGCATGCGATCCGATCCGCGGATCAGATCGTAGCATTACGATCCGAAAAATCGGATCGACGGCCCGGTTCGCACATCCCTAGCGCACTCTGCTGGTGCATTTGAAAACTAATTCACGTTCCAATTAAGCATCAGCATGATTCGGCATTGTGCGCCAATGAGTCGCATTATGCTCTGTAATTGGAAAACAACCACGGTATTCTTTAAGCGTCCACTCCATATTTAAAAATGAGTAAAATTCTAAAAAGTATACAGTTTTATTTTCATGAACGATTCGAAATTTGAATTCAATAAACTTTTTTTGTGGCCAGCATTCTAAAAGAAAAGTTTTTACTGTGTGACAATACTTATGACCTGATTGTGTATATTATAGATTGTCCATTCTATTATTATCTTTTTGACAAATCGATCGAAGTAAAAATAGTAACACCCTATCACATAACTCATTCGATTTAAAGCTATAATCGATTTTATGCTAGATCATTGTTTAATCGATTATAAGTATCGAAATTATGTTAGTTTTTAAAAATACTGCTGTTTAATAAATTATTACAAAATCTCATTAGATTTATTATTTTACCTAGTATTTTGCCTTTGACAATATACAACAGAATGAACTCATCATTAATACCCAGGACACAACTGACGATGAGTCCAGTTTGTATGAAGAATCTGATACGTCTGAATAAATTAAAAATAAACTAAGATGACATTTATACAATGAACTTTATATAATGTTAATATTTTAAGTACTTGGTTTCAACCATACATTTTATTTCTACCGATTATTTGTAATCTGTGGCACAATCTTATAGTAATCATCATGTGTGGCACATCACTAAGTGGGCGGTTCCCGTCCATAAAGTACAATATTATTTGTATGACATTTTCACGTAAACAATACAAAATTTCATGGGCGTCGATCTGTCAAAAAGATAATAATAGAATGGACAGACTATAGTGGGATAGGATAGTGAGATCTACTCACCACGCGGGGCTGGAGCCATAAAGGCAGGTTGGTCTAGTTGGCTCGCCCCCTTGAGTGCGGCACATAAAGCTTTCATATTGTTGTGGTTGCCCAAAGCACTCGTGAGCCGCTGGGGTCGGCCATTGTCGCATAATACTTGGATGTAGCCGTGCAAGAGGCTAAGAGCGGACAGCTTCCGCTCGCAATCTAAATCAAAGGCAGAGATGATAGCAATTTTTTATAATTTCTGTTTTTTTTTTTTATTATTAGCTCACAAAACAAGTTACAATTATATTAAAAAAAAAAGGCAATTACAATAATATAAAACCAAACTGTAACTCTAAATATGTGGGCATAACATGATAAAATTTTATGGGCTGAAGTTTACACAAAATAAAAATATATAAATCGAATTTCAACAATTAAACAACAAAAAAAACATTTAAATAAAAGTAAAAATTAACCGATTTTCTTTTTTTTAACGAAGTATTAATCTGTTTTATTTTGTAGTCATAATTTTTATATTTTTTACATCTGTAATGGAAAGTGGCTTCATGAGTTATCTCATATTGAAGTCAGTTTTACATTTGAAGACTCTGTATATAATACAGGGAGAAATAAACAGGCCTTGCTGAGTTTCTTGCCGGTTCTTTTCAGTAGAAGGTCTCCCGCCGTAGATTTACGAACCGATGGCGTAGCTTTTCGACATTCACAAGTGCTTGTAACAGCTCAGACTGAATAAACGATATTGAATTTTGTATTTTTTTTAATTTCAATGAGAGTGAGAAAAGTATTTTTGACGTGATACATTTCATAAACCAAGGAATACCGGCTGCACGCACGAAAGTGTGGCGTCATGTCACGTTATGTCACGAGTTAGTTCATCGTTCCGCGTTGTGTGTGAGGTAACGTCGAAGGGTTCTTTCGAACCCCCCTTGCCACTCACCCCCCTTACTCGTGAGTTATCAAAATCTCAGACTCGGTTTCCATAGGATTTAAAGCACATGAGGCGTACTATAATCTTGGTCTGTGAGAAGAAACCTTAAACTGAGAAGAACCAGCAAGAATTTCAGTAACATCTTTTTTTTTAATCACACCACTTACTAAATAAAACTCACCAATTTAAATGTAAAAGTTAGGCGGTAAATAAAAGTTTTGCCCGCACCCTTACCAGACTAAATAGGGACAAACTTCGCAGGATTATAGGATCCCTGACTGGTCATTGTCCCCTAAACAAACACCTATATACAATGGGAGTAATAGACAGCCCCCTATGCAGAGGATGCATGGAGGCAGAAGAAACGCCACAGCATGTCATCATGGAATGCAGGAGTGTGGCCGACCAACGGGCACGACTTCTCCAGTCACCAGAATCGTTTCCGGAAGCTTGCAGCAGTCTACCAAGGCTGCTTTCCTTCTGGACCGATATAGGCTAGCTGGAGTAAGCGGGAATGTTTTTGAGACACGCACAATGGTCCAATAATTAGGACTAAGTGCGGAAACCGCCCTGAAGAACTATGAACTAACTATGAACTAAAACTCACCAATATTATTCAGCACCCTAGGCAGCCCGTTGAGCATCACAAAGAAGTTCTCGCACAAGCTGTCCATAACCCTATGCTTGTTGGCAAACGAAGCGGTCTCGAAGTATGCATTAATGACGCCGGTACAATACTCTGATACTGCGGGATACTCGTCCTTTGCCAAAGTTATTAATATGTCCAGAACTATCGGTTGGGAGGGCTGCATTGTCCTGTGACAACACACATAATTAATTTTTAAATGGTTGATTGAAAAGGAGACCCGGCACTTTTCATAGAAAAAATGCTAAACTTGTATACAGTTGAATTTGGTCTCAAAATAAAGCCAAAATTATTTGCTACATTAAACTACTTTTGCCTTATTTTTAGTGAATCGTGGAAAGAAGTTATATGATGATTAATATTTTTTGATATGGAAACCCTAAATCTTCAAGAGACAGAATTTTACTTCAAAATATTACTCAAGTGACTGTAAAAACCAGGATTCCTTTGCTTTTTCTAAATAAAAAACCAAATGTCAATTTGAGAATCCTAAAATGCAAACAAAAAAATCATTCGCATCCGCTCCCGCGTACTGTGATTGTGAATGTTCTCTGCTGTGATTGCCTTTTTATCCGTTATTTCTCTTGATGACCCGGCTACATATAGAGGTTATATTGACAAACCTCCTACGTATTTGACATTGACAGCTAGCTGCTGATGACAAATATTGCCAGACTACGTTACTATTGAATTAATTTTTACAATAAGTTATACAGGATTAAAAATTTATGATATTGGAACGTTTCACAATTATGACTGTAGATTCTATCTATTTAGTTTAGGATTATTGCAATACCCTACCTGGGTTCTTGTTTGGATTGATATATTTTTTTTTTGTAACAGCATGTAAACAACAAGAATGCAATAAATGAATATGAATATGAATACATTTTTACGCTGCGGTATTTACAATAGGGGTGATGACGGGGTACAGTAAACGAAATTCTATTTAGTCCGTCAGTTAGATGATCAAAAAACACGTATTTTTTCTTTGAGCAATCAACCAAAAAATGACAAAGTTATAGCGCGCCAAAGTTTGGGAGTAGGGACTCGTGACGTCACTTTTGAGTGAATTTTCACTTATAAGTGTACTCAAACGTGACGTCATGCGACTTTTCAAATCAATATATCTCTGCAATGTTTATATTATGTGAAAAAAGAAAAAATACGTATCCAATACTTTTTGATAATCTACCGGATAAACGAAGAAAAAAAAATAGTCATCATCCCTATTGGCACCAATAAAACGTTGCATCCCTACTTATAACAGAGCTACAAAATTTGGTATTAAAAGTATCGATAATATCACGTTAGCATGGTCGATACATCGGATATCGATATAATATCGATATTTCAAAGGACTTGGCATCCCTACCTGAAAGTATCTATCTTTAACAGATCTTGGATAAAAACAAAATTTGTACGCCAATCTGAACCATGTTGGTTTTTGTGATGATAGATTGGAAACTTTGTCAGGTCTTAGACTTAAACATTTGGTCCTTCGAGCTGGATAGGATACCCATTGATTAAAAGTTGGTATATTAATTCTACAATCCTTACTTATTTAGAAGCTCCTATTGTAGTGTTTGTTTTTAAACAGGGCGTGACACTGACACTTAAATAACTGACACACGTAGGACAGCTGTTTTGTCTATGATAGCGAACCGCTTACGTCGGCGTAGCTGTCAAACTTCATTGATTGGGTTGGTAGCATTGAGGGAATAGTTGTTTTTTTTATTCGACTAAAATATTCGACTTGAGACTTATAAAAAAAAAAAGGTAATAAGGCAGTGAATCTCTGTTGGTGCGTGTGGATGAAACATATTGATAACTAGCAACCAGATTGTGTATAAAATCAGTCATTTGATTGTCAGTTTTGATAAACATTAATTGAACTGTAAGCAAATTAATGGCAACCTTTTGAAGTAATATTAGTTTTCTAATTCTTGCTATTGAAACTGGTTAATAATAGGCTTCATTTGTACCTGAATTAGTTACACGGACATATAGTACAATTATTGTCTTTTAGGTGTAAACTAGCAAACCAGTGAACCAAATGTTCACCAAAACCTGATTTAAAAATGTATTTAATTAATTGAGAACTTCGGAGATTTTGTGTGGTTTCGTTTGAAATTATTTAGTTAAAAAAAATAGTTACCTAATTAAAATTGTGATAAGGGGTCATCCATAAATTACGTCACACGAATTTCATGATTTTTTGCCCCTCCCCTCGTCCCTGTCACAGCTGGTCACATTTGTGAAACTCCGCCCCTCCTTAGTGTGACGTCACATATTTTTCATATTTACATTTAGAAATTATTCAATGAAAACAGCGGTTCCGATCAGTTTTATTGCGATTTAAATTATTCAAGAAGTGAAACTTCGTTACGCTCGCTTGACTTGGGGATGAGCTGGCGAATGCTTTACGCGTTACGAAAAGTGTGATTGGGCGAGGCGAACGGGAGTAGGGGATGTAAGCAAGAGAAAGCAGTATGCGCGCACATTTTCTTTCTCTCTTTCTCTTATAGCTATTAAACTATATATTGTACACTCACACACATATATATATTTATATATATACAGATGGAGCTTAAGAAGTGGCTTCACTTCAGTCGTCCCCGTCCCCATCAATAATCAAATCAAACTTAACAAAACAAAAAACTATTAATTCTATTAATTAAAGAAATTATCACAAAAAAAAATATTACTATATAGCATTATATTTGAATTAAAGATACAAACTTAATAATCTTGAGTCCATGGACATTGAACCCACTCCTTTAAACTATGTATAAGTGGCATAGCAGCCACTTTGTTCTCGTTTAGGTTGTTAATGTTTTCTTAAAGTAATAGTTTAAAGTTCGTGTTATAACACTTAAATTATAATAGATTTTGAAATGTGACGTCACGAAATTTAGGAACGCTCCCACCCCCTTGTCACACGATATCACACATCGTCGACCCCCTCCCTCCCCCTTAATGTGTGACGTATTTTATGGATGGCCCCTAATTACAAAATAGAAATCACGTGATTTCTCGAAAACCGGAAGTGCTACGTTACTCAAATCCGGTTTGTAGTCTTATCAGACTATTCTTAACTTATAACTTAAATATTCTCTTTATCTATCTCTTACGGTTTGGCCGCTGAAACAGCACCACAGACAGACGGACGGACGGACTTGTCTAATAGATAAGAGATATTACGCTCAAAGATAGAAAACGCTTTATAAATTATTTTTTTTCCTGAAGACATCTACTAAAACGTTTCCAGCCTAGGCCTAGTAGGATCAAGGGCGTCGCCAGCTTATGACTAAGGGGGGGGGGGCAATTTATTGGTCTCTAGTCTCTGCCCCCCCCCCCCTGCCCCCCTTGGCAACGCCCTTGAGTAGGATACATATCGGAAAGCAGTGTGCGTCGTAATTAAATAATATTTTAATATGCTTTTCTTCATTGCCACAACGCGTTGAGATCGAATAGCATGTCGGCCACGACACGATTACTCTGGACTCTTTTTACCATTATTTCCAACCCTCATTCTCCAGAGTACTTGAAATGCAAGTTTCAGTATCTCTGTGATAGTCACGACCGTCCTCTCCGCTCTGCTGATTCATTAGGTCTCTATATTCCTCTTTCTCACTCAGGCTATATGTCCAACTCCTTTACTCTTCAAGCCATACGACAGGGGAATGACCTTCCCAACTCCATCAGAAGATCTCCTAGTAAACTTATATTTAAAAGGAATGTTCACGCTCATCTGTTGCAAAATTTAAGAGGAAGTGTCACTTTTTAATCATCATCATGTATATATTATATGTATCTATGTTTTTTATACATTTATTCGTATTATTTTATTCGTGTTTTTCATTTTTCCCAAAGGTTGACTGGGAGAGAATGCTTTTAGCATTAAGTCCGCCTTTTGTACCATTGTTTATATTTTGGTCAATAAAGTATAAATAAATAAAAAAATCGCTATTTGGTCTTTCTGTGATTGCCACAACGGGTCGTGCGCGTTTTCATTAGAGCCATAACACGAATTTCGCGATGTGGATGTTTTACTGTGACCACAACGCGTTGTGAGCTATTTTTCCGCTCACTGAGCGTTTTCGATCTTTGAGCGTAACATAATAGTACATTACGATACGCGTGACCTAAGTTGCCTATTACTGCACGGCGTGAAGTTAGCGCCCGGGTGCTAAACGCCGTGCAATAATAGACAACTTAGGCCACAAGTATCGTATACTATTTTATAGCAAGTGTGACATAAACCCGCCCCGGACGCGGGCAAGAGGGGGGGGGGGGGTTCGGGGGGGCGATGCGATTAGTGTTTTGAAAGTAAAATTCATGTATTGCAATCACAAAGAATTGCAATACAGACTGCAAGTCAAACTCTGAAAAGAAAGAATTCCGGTTCAGATTACCATTTTGAAAGTATATTTCAAAAGGAAAAAATCAAATATCATTACAACAAAATAGAATTTCAATGTATCCATGAACGTTTATTCCTTGATTGGCATAAAAATATATTAAACAACGGGAATGAGCTTTATTTTTTGTACTCGTATAATTCAAACAAGAATTCCTAACCTATCGCTAACTTGTCATTTGTTTGCTGTGAGTTTTTAAGCTCCAAATGACATTTAAATGTGTTTCCTTTTATTTTTTCTACATGAGTGAAGTTGGTCAATTCATTTACACACCGTGCAGAAATAGGCAACTTAGGTCACGGAAAAGCGTGCGTAAAGTGCGGGTTTAGGTCACACTGTGCTATAAATAAATATAATAATAATAACTCACAAAGTGCACTCATTGAGTACCCTAGCGCAGAAGACAGCTAATTCCTTCCTCACTTTGAAGTGCTCATGAGTTCTCAGCGAGATGAGACTCTTGGTGACGACTACAAGCTTATCGCTGGCCATCTTGTACCACTCCGGAGACCGTTTTGGTAATTCTTTCAATTGCTTCTCTGCGACAAACAGGAAAAAAAAATTGTTGTATTATGCAACTTTTGGTATCAACAATAGTAATGTCTTTATGAACTCTCAAAATCTATGACAAGTATAACAGAATACCATTATGAAGACACATTATTTCTTAAGAAAAGTTTACTAGAAAAAAAAAATTTCGACGCGGCCATCAGGGCCGTGGTAGCATAATTGGTCGGTGCATTCGCCCGGATTGCGAAGGGTGCGGGTTCGAGTCCCGTCCGCTGCCTGGTCCGCGTGGATTTTTTTCTAGAAAACTTTTCTTTAGATTTAAACATCTAGCAGTTAAATGCTTAAAAAATAAATAAAAACATGACATATTATTAGTAGTTAGAAGTTTTTGTATAAATAAGTAGATTGTAAAATCACATCTTATATATTGAAATTTCACAAAACTATGAATCATTTAAGATAGAAACAGAAAGTAAAGGTCATAATAATAGATATTTTTGATGCGAATACGCAGAAACTATTTACTATTATAATACTAAGATGCCTATTGGCCTGTTGCTTAATGAAGTAATTGTGGAGTTACATAATATACAGATATTTTATTCATAACTAGCGGCCCGCCCTCGCTTCGCTTCGGTGTAGAGCTGAAGTGTAGGCTACAGTTTTTGTTCTCAGGCTTGTATTATACACAATGACATTCATCTAAGATTCTTCTTTTACCTGCATGCAAAGTCTCAGCCCGATCGGTTTAAAATTGACAAAGTTTCATACAAACTTTCATTCCCTATTTTATCCCCTTGGGGGTAGAATTGATCAAAATCCTTTCTTAGCGGATGCCTACGTCATAACATCTACCTTCATGCCAAATTTCAGCCCGATCCATCCTGTAGTTTGGGCTGTGCGTTGACAGATCACTATGTCAGTCACTCACCTTTGAATTTTATATATATAGATGTAAGTATCAAAATAACTCTTTTAAATGGATCTCAAAATTTTTATTCACCACTAGTTCAGGAATTTTGTTAGCTGTGGAGAAGAACTGGCGCAAGAAACACCTCAATATTATTATTAATTAATTATAACTTTAAATAGTAGTGAAATGCTTACAAAATTTTATGTCGCTACAGCATGCATTAATATAACGAGAAATCTACGCTTATTTGCGACTTAATCTCTTAGTTGCGACTGCGCAGACTATTCTTATTCTTCTAATACCAACAATATGCACAAAATACTCGACGCAAATAAAAAAAATCAACGTTTTTAATATTGTCACAAACGCTCTCGAAACGGAACCGAGAAAGTGCTCGAGATCGAATTTGTCTGATCACCGCGGGTCGCGATAGAGGTCGAGTAATGCGGCTCATTCTAAAATGAGCCTTATGCAGTGCGGCGTAAGGGAGAAAGTGCAACGACATCTGTACTTGTTTACAAGTTATGCGCGTTACCTGCGTAGGTATAAGTAGGTACTTCGTACTCGCGGGTGCTAGCTAATTCTCAATTTAACAGGTACTTTCTAGAATGCGTCGCGATTGGCGCCGCGCAGAGACAGTTGAGTTTCAACAGCGATTTCAGTGCGAATCCAAAGGCGATCAAAGTGCAACAAAAGTGTTCAAGTGAGATTGTTTAGAGACTTGTATAGTGAAATACAGTGTTTAGTGAGTGTACTGTGATTAACATTGTGCGGTGAATAAAGTACTGTCAAGCGTGAACTGGCATATAAATTCGAACCCCATCCCGACACGTAACAATATAAACATTATTCTATTATATGATTACATCAATTACATTTCTTCTAGGCAGGTGTGTACCCTCTTAGGCTTCATCATTGCTTTCCATAAGGCGAGATTGTGGTCAAACTCTTTGCCTATTAAGCATTAAAAAAAAATTAAGCGAACAACAGACAAAATTAATTAAATGCTTCAAAATTATCAATTACCCTTACAGCTTACTTCATTTTGATTTTGCTCTTCTTGTTGCGAATATAATTGTACAGACTCCCTGAAACTCTTAGCAAAGTCTTCTGCGGTGATGTCGGTCTTCTTGGGCAGGAACCTGTCGCTCATCGTCAAGCATAGAATACGATGAATTGCCTCAAGGGATGTCTGAAACACGTAGGTAACTTTTAAGTCTAGTCCATATTAGATATACTTATGATTATATTTTTTTTAAAATTTAAACCCAATAGGGGTGTTGCAATGACGTATAATATATAGACAGGTTATACGCTAACATTATTGCATTTTAAAATGGCACAAGCAGTCCCTACCCCAACTTCCCTTGGCAACAGACGCCAATAGAGTGTAGTGCAAACCCGATAAGCGGTAGGCACCCAGGCAGGATGCTGGGGGCCATTCGCCTAACGGTGTGGCGGCGACATCTATATGCCCCACATATATACACGGATGGAGGAAATCATTACTCACCATCCTCAAGAGATGGCGTTACCTGCACTGCGATCTTAATAGTATGGAAGCCTACATCGCGCAAATGAAATTCGGAAGCTAACTCTTCATATATACGATGCCCGACTAATATCAGTCGGGCCGCGGCCCCCGAGCTAACAACACCCAGCTCGGAGGAAGATCTTCCCCTTTGGCCTTCCTACATCGGAAATGCTTTGGAAAAAGCTAACGCTTACGATTTCATTTTGTTATTTCTAGCCGTCTGAGGTTTTCAAATGCCTCGCGCTTTTTTTTTCTTTAACATTGGTAATAACAATATTTAAAAAAAATAGCGTGAGGTATTTGAAAACCTTCGGCAGTCAGAAATAACAAAATAAAATCGAAAGCGTTAGCGTTTTCCAAAGCATTTTCGTTAGGCGAATGGCCCCCTGGTCAGCATGTCTACTGCCACGCAAATTAAAAAGTATCGTAATATGTGTTGAAATAAAACAAGTGCATACCACAACGCACGAGTAGCCAGGGTCCTGGGTTCTAATGACTACATCCTGCAGAGCAACCAATACTCCAGGCAGGATACTGGCTAAAAGTTTTACTGCCGTGGTTTCCAGACTTCGGTCCATCAGTTGGTACTGGGCGTCTACCAGCTGCGGGAGTACATACCAAGATGCACACGTGGTCAGGCTTCAGGGTGCTAGTGGTTACATCCTGCAGATCAGCCAGGACTCCAGGTAAAATGTTGGCTAAAACTTCTACTGCCGCGGCCTCCAGACTTAAATCACAATATCAGCAACCTGATGATGCTTCGATCCACGAGGGTCTAGACACGTGGACTCAAGCCAGGGCTGTTGCCTGTGCTCCCGGGAGGTGAAAGCTGCCCATTGCCTTGCCCATACCATCGTCCAGGGGATGTGACACGTGTGTCGGGACGGGACACGCCCGTTGATGTTTGGATACCGCACGGACAGTTCATATGGATAAACCGGGTAATATTAACCCATTTTGTAAGCCCATTTAATGTTAGAAATTTAACATATAAACTGAATTTAATTTGACATCCTTGGTCAAGTAATTTGTATTAACATCGTTAAAAAGGTAATAAATGGATGTGAACATTTAAATGTGTGGACATTTTTATTCCATCTGAAATCGTTTGTTACTGTGTGCATACGCCTCGGCGGCGCCTCACAAATAAGTTTTGCACACAGTACTCCAGGCACGGTCTTAATAAAACCCGCTCCCTATCAACTTGCTCAACATCTAGCCGACTGTTGCAAATGTAAGCGTAGCCAGGAAAAACCCATTACAAGTTAACATCAAACTTGCAAACATGTGTTGAGGTCAACTTTTATCACATGATGTCATCAGCTGCGGGAGTACATACCACGACGCACGCGTGACCAGGGTTCTCGGTGCTAGACGCGGAGAATCCCTAAACGGGGATCCCGCGGCTTCGCACTAAGCAGCTTAGAGGGTATTCGCAGGACTTTTTTAGCGGATATTATACCGTAAAGCGCCCGTAAGGGTTGCGAGGTCCTCGGTGGGCAGCCACTGGGGGGTTCGTAAGACTTGCGGGAGCCAGGTGTGAGGTCCGTTCGGCGGTGTGCCTCTTATAGGCGCCGTCGTCTGTAAATAGATTTTTTACCTGCGTATTAAAAAAAAAAAAAGGGTTCTCGGTGCTAGTGGCTACATCCTGCAGAGCAGCCAGGACTCCAGGTAAAACGCTGGCTAAAAGTTCTACTACTGCGGCCTAGAGATTTCGATCTGACAGTCGGTACTGGGCGTTCATCAGCTGCGGGAATACATACCAAGATGCACACGTGGCCAGGGTTCTCGGTGCTAGTGGCTACATCCTGTAGAGCAGCCAGGACTCCAGGTAAAATGCTGGCTAAAAGTTCTACTGCCGCCTTAGATTCAAACAAAAAGGGTAGATACGGCACAAGCCTCACAAAAGTGATCCGCACAAATTGTGGTCCACGACCCTAATGGCCGGAGGCCGGAGGCCACCCCGAGGGATGCGATTAGTGTTTTGAAAGTAAAATTCATGTATTGCAATCACAAAGAATTGCAATACAGACTGCAAGTCAAACTCTGAAAAGAAAGAATTCCGGTTCAGATTACCATTTTGAAAGTATATTTCAAAATCCTTCCTTGATTGGCATAGTAAAGTTAAGTTACGCGTATCGTAATGTACTAATTCTACATGAGTGAAGTTGGTCAATTCATTTAAACACCGTGCAGAAATAGGCAACTTAGGTCACGGAAAAGCGTGCGTAAAGTGCGGGTTTAGGTCACACTGTGCTATAAAAATTGTTGTTAGTTTTGAATCTTATTCGGTAGTGACGTCGAGTACTGGTCGCCTGATTGTTCGGTAATGCAGTGACGCGGATCTCGCCCTCTTGTTTGCGCTGCCGTTGAAACTTAACGTGCTGTTTCGTTCGGGTCGGTAATGCAGTGACGCGGATCTCGCCGTCCCGTTCGCGCTGCTGTGGGATCAGTTTTTGTTTGATGCAAATATGAGCGTACCGTATCTACCCTTTTTGTTTTAATCCAAGACTGCCGCGGCCTCCAGACTTCGATCTGACAGTCGGTACTGGGCGTTCATCAGCTGCGGGAGTACATACCAAGATGCACACGTGGTCAGGGTTCAGGGTGCTAGTGGCTACATCCTACAGAGCAGCCAGGACTCCAAGCAGGATACTGGCTAAAATTTCTACTGCCGCGGCCTCCTGACTCGCATCCGTTAGTCAGTACTGGGCGTTCATCAGCTGCGGAAGTACATACCACGACGCACGCGTGGCCAGGGTTCTCGGTGCTAGTGGCTACATCCTGGAGAGCAGCCAGGACTCCAGGTAAAATGCTAGCTAAAAGTTCTACTGCCGCCTTAGATTAAAACAAAAAGGGTAGATACGGCACTAGCCTCACAAAAGTGATCCGCACCAATTGTGGTCCACGACCCTAATCGCTTGTCACAACTTGACATGCAAACGACGTACATGAGAACGCCAAAAAGAAATATTGCTAATTTTTTGTGTTTATATGACAAAACAATCCCTAAGTGTGTTGTTAAGAATAACTCAAATTGGACGGGACTCGAACCCGCATCCTTCGCTATCCGGGCGAATGCACTGACCATTATGCTACCACGGCCCTATTAGCCGCGTCGAAATTTTCCTGGCCTTAAGCTGCAAGGCAGCGCCATCTCTTCGCATTGTAGGTAACCCACAATGTCAAATGAATACTTTTTCAAGTATTAAACATTTGAAAGAAGAAATAGCAATTATAATTATGATTTTATTTATTTTTTAAGCATTCAACTGCTAGATGGTTAAATCTAAAGAAAAGTGTACTAGAAAAAAATCCTTGCAGCTTAAGGCCAGGAAAATTTCGACGCGGCTAATAGGGCCGTGGTAGCATAATGGTCAGTGCATTCGCCCGGATAGCGAAGGATGCGGGTTCGAGTCCCGTCCGCTGCCTGGTCCGCGTGGATTTTTTTCTAGTACACTTTTCTTTAGATTTAAACATCTAGCAGTTGAATGCTTAAAAAATAAATAAAATCATAACTCAAATTGCTCAAGAACTACAAAAAAAAACTCATGTCATCACTTTTCATTCGTAAGTACTATAAAATATATTTTTTCATAAAAATTGTTATTAGTTTTGAATCTTATTCGGTAGTGACGTCGAGTACTGGTCGCCTGATTGGTCGGTAATGCAGTGACGCGGATCTCGCCGTCCCGTTCGCGCTGCCGTGGGATCAGTTTTTGTTTGATGCAAATATGAGCGTACCGTATCTACCCTTTTTGTTTTAATCAAAGACTGCCGCGGCCTCCAGACTTCGATCTGACAGTCGGTACTGGGCGTTCATCAGCTGCGGGAGTACATACCAAGATGCACACGTGGTCAGGGTTCAGGGTGCTAGTGGCTACAACCTGCAGAGCAGCCAGGACTCCAAGCAGGATACTGGCTAAAATTTCTATTGCCGCGGCCTCCTGACTCGCATCCGTTAGTCAGTACTGGGCGTCCATCAGCTGCGGAAGTACATACATACCACGACGCACGCGTGGCCAGGGTTCTCGGTGCTTGTGGCTACATCCTGGAGAGCAGCCAGGACTCCAGGTAAAATGCTGGCTAAAAATTCTACTGCCGCGGCCTCCAGACTTGGGTCCGTCAGTCGGTACTGGGCGTCCATCATCTGCGGGTGGGTCATCGTGTGCGCCATCACGCTGCTTATAGCAGCGAGCCTGGTAATGGGACGTTAAGGTTTTGTACACAGTCCATCCATCCAGCATGAGCACCGCGATACGATATACAGGGTGTTACAAAAATACAAATAAAACTTAAAGGGCGTTGAAGTACATCATATAAGGAGACTTCTCTAATTTTCTTAAAATATTTGCATGAAGTTTTAACTATTTATAAAAACAGTTATTTTTAATGATCAATAAAAATATCGATCATTTTAAGGCACGTCACTAGTTCGCGGATCATTAAAAATAACTATTTTTATAAAAAGTTAAAACTTAATGCAAATATTTTAAGAAAATCAGAGAATAAGTCCTTATATGATGTACTTCAAGTCCCTTCAAGCTTTATTTGTATTTTTGTAACACCCTGTATAACGCGTTTTTATCATGATCAAATGTCAAATTACTATCGAGTTTGACAGTTAGACGCGATAAAATACGTGATATAATGTAAATTGTGGTACTCGTGCTCCGGCTCAAGCACGAACTTTGACAGCTCCGTATTTCAAAGAAACTTTGACGATGCGATTCGATTATGGAGCTCTCAAATTTCGTGCTAGGGTCTCAGGAATCAACTCCACTAACTAGAGACCCCACCGAAAAGGGGCACCCGTTTGTGTCAAGTGTATGTACTAATACAGCATAGACGGGTGACACGCCAACAAACGTAGCGTCACACTGACGTGTACGATCAAAACATGGCTCTAACAAAAAGATTACAAACAGAATCACCATCATCATCACCTATTAATGTCCCCACTGCTGGGGCACAGGCCTTCCTTATGGATGGAATAGGGAGACTGGGCCATGACCCACCACGGGGGCCAGTGCGGATTGGCGGGTGCTAACGACTGCAGATGCAGCCGGGACCAACGGCTTAACGTGCCTTCCGAAGCACGGAGGAACTAGAAGATTTTTGGTCACCCATCCAATGACTGACCACCGCGAAAGTTGCTCAACTTCAACATTCCGGTACTTAATTCCATTAGCTGTGGTTGAATTTCGGGGAAGTTTTGATGTGGGAGGAAGGAAAGGAAAAAATGGCAGCACTGATCAAAATTGCTGTCAAAATTGACTAACCTAACCTAACATACAAAAATATTAATTTAAAAAAATTTTTCTCCAGTTCTATTCTTTTCCGCCTAAAAAGATTTTGTGTGCGTGTTTCTTATAATTAATACTTTGCGTGACAAAAATTTCAGCTCGCAACTCAACCACAGCTAATGGAAAGCTGAGCCAAAACACGAATTGTTCATTACCAAGAGTGAAAATCAAAGCTGTTTTATGTTTATCATTATGGACCCACCTTAAAGCTCTCATTTTTTCCAACTTTGCAATGTGCACAGAGACGAAGACAGCTTGTGCCAAGAGTGGTACTTTCGTCTTGAGCAACTTCTCCCTGAACCTTCTGTCAATGCTCAACAAAAGCACTGTGAGACACTTCATGACACTGTGCTTAAGTTCTTCTGGCACGTCAGCAACTAAATTTGTATACATTACTCAATTATTTATGTTTATAAATATTATGTTCCTAAATTAAAACATTATCGCCCCATTTTTGACATGCAGTTTTCAGTATTAGAAAGAAAGTGATTTAAGGTGATTTCTAAACTATTTTGGACTGGCACCAAAATTATTTTTTAACTTTATACCAAATTTTGTAATTTCAATATGATGTTAGTGGTGTTTACCTAATTATGATGTGTACTGTTTCATTAAAAGTAAAAAAAAATATAACCCAATTGTCTAACATAATAAACTCTGGGTGGGACTTTTTGGCAGGATCGGGAAGTGTCACTTTAGCAGTTTTGTTCTTCTTGTTAAAAATTGTGTTGTGGTGGATGTCAGTGTCTAATAACGGTGGATTATTAACAATTAAGTGTTCGAGAACATGTACAAGTATTGGCAAGTGAAACGAAATAGCGGAAAGTGTCTTTCGACGTTCCCTCAAGAAGTCCATGGGGATGTTCCAGTAAATCCCCACACTTTTACTGAAACATAGGGAAAAGGAGATTGACCACTTACTTTGACTGGATTTATTACTTTGACTTGATTTATTACTTTGACCAAGAGTGCTATAGTATTTGTAAACATTTTAACACTTGACATTGGCTAAATGCAAAAGCCGTTGCGAAAGCATTTAGAAAAAAAAACTCTAGGTGAGGTTAGTTTAGTGTTGTAACTAAGACACTAAAGCCGAAGGAGCAAACTGAGTGTGCCATGGCAGTGGCCAGCAAAACCCCACAAAAATGTGTAAGTCTCTTATTTGTGACACTTGGATTCTTATTAGGGTTGCATTAACCTGTTATGAAATTGTTAATGTGATTTTCATACAAACTTAGGTTAGATTTTAAATACTTTCAAAAATTATTAACTTATATATTGGTATCGATTCTGGCGTGATTCTCTAAACTTAAAACTAAATTTAACATCAGTCTCTCCTTTTCTTTCTGTATAGAGAATGACAAGGATACACTGTTGTCAAATTTAAGTTTAGATTTAGAGAATCGTGACAGAATCGACACCATTATATGTATCTATATATATATATATATATATATATATATATATATATATATATATATATATATTTATATTTATGGTATGTATTTATATATGTATTTATGTTTTTTGTACATATATTCGTATTTAGCTTTATACCGTTGTTTGTGTTTTTCATTTTTCCCAAAGGTTGACTGTAAGAGAATGCTTTTAGCATTAAGTCTGCCTTTTGTACCATTGTTTATATTTTGGTCAACAAAGTTTAAAAAATAAATAAAAATAAGTGTTTAATTTTGATGCGAGTGGTCAGGGAGCCGTTACCCCGTTTCCTCATTTTCTTTGGCAGCTATTTTCTACATCCCCCCATGTAGAAAATAGCTGCCAAAAAAAATATTTCACAATATTATATCAGATCAAGAACGTCTCGGATGGAAAGGAATCGGATGCATCATCCGTACTGGATTTGGGATTAAGGAAAAGTTTAACAAAAAACTTACTCATGCCAGGCTTTGAGTTGTCAAATACCAATTGTAATAGCGATGTTTCTATCTTAATACACATTTCAAAACTGTTCACTGTAACCCTCTCCAGCACAACCCTCATTCCATCCACTAATTTCCATTGATATTCATAATTATTTCTGCAACAAGTAAAACATTTTTTATTTTCAATGTTATTTGAAAATAAGAGGGTAAAAAGAAATCAATAACCGTAACTCATGGGCTCATTCTGACCATTTAATAATAATAATAATTAAATTTTATTTTATTTATTTCTCACCATAATCAGTTTCTTATTCCATTAAAAACACTAAGTAAAAAGGTCACTTATCTAATTATGGCGGGCTGACACCTGAACTAGGAAAAAACCCGTGTCTCAGGTTATCAGCCCTCCACTCTTTAAATGTAATGTAATACAACACAGTTTACTGTAATTTGAACATATTGATTAATATTATTTGCTAAAAAACTAATTTATTTGACAATTATAATATTGGATTTGAGGGTAGGTAGTGTGAATATGAGTCTTTGATATGCGTGAACAAGAAAGGTGCATTAAGTAATAACTAAATACCATAAGTAGTTGATATTTTTTATGCCGCTTCCGTTAGATAATATGATATATAATCAAAGTATAATATAATCAAAGTAATGAATATAGACTTACTGAATCGCTGTGGATTTTATGTGGGTAATGAATGGAAAAAGAAGATACTGTTGGAGCTCCTGGACCGCCTCGGTCTTTAGATCAGCCACCCGGGAAACGAAATTTGATATGCTCTTTGGAGTCGGACAAACCATCACTACATCACAGAATGGTTTTATTCGCGAGAAGGAATCTTTCAAATCGGCATTCATTTTGATTTCGTAGATACCTTTTATGGAATACAAAAAGAAAGTTTTGGTGTAATGTTATCGATTAGATAAGTTTGCAAATCATCCTTTATTCTTCCCTTAATTTAACTTTTTCAGTCAGTTGCTTTTTATTTTAAAATGAATATGAAAATGAATGAAAATAAAAATAATGGTTTGGTTGACATTGCATTGACATGCGCTGCAAAGAGCAGTGTTGCCAACTCGGATTTTGAAAAAGGCGTAGGCCCGATGAGAAAATTACGTAGAATTGGTAAATTTTGCATATGAAAAGTAAGTAGATCTACGTACTTTTTTCTGAGTGAAATGAAGAAGTTATTTGAAACCGAATAAAACGAGTATTTTGTTATACAATTTGTTTAAGAACGGGAGATAGAACGAAGAGTTCTTGGAGAAGTCGCTGCATTGGAAGCATTTACCATGCTGTGGTAAACATTTACCATCAGACACAGACACTGGTGGGTGCCGATTCTGGATGGTTCTCTAAATTTAAAACTGAATTTAACATCAGTCTCTCCTTTACATTCTGTATAGAGAATGACAAGGATAAACTGTTGTTAAATGGGCTAGTTGACATTTTTTGGAATTACGTTTTAAATTGTTAATAATTATTCTATCAGAACGAAAAAAAAATTTTTTTTTACCTAGAAGACATACAAAAACGCTCTTTAGTCTATAGACTTATCTATGCTATGGCGACAAAACATTTGTAAACAAACACTCGCAAGCACGTAGGAAATAAACTTTCTAAGTTAATATTATGAAACCATGATTTCTAATAGATCACATGAAAAATATAGTAGTTATCATGATACACTTGGTAAAAGACTCTAGAAAAGTTATGGTTTAAATTGCCAAGAGAAAAAACATACTTACACATGAATATATGCTTAAAACTTGCTAAATCCTGTAACTTTATCGACTGAAAGTCTTTTCTTTTTGCAAAGATCAATTCGATGTGAGTAATTTTAAAAATACAATTTTTAAGGTTATGAATGTACCTACTAAGTCAAAGTGTTTTGTCGTTTCTGCTTTCAGAAATCCTGCGTCCAGCATTAATTTAGTCAACAAAACCAATAACGGGAACTTTTTCTACAAGATGCAAGAGTGTTTAGATACATCTTCTTAAATATTCAATATAAAATACTCTTCTTTATTCTAATGAATTAAGTTATTTTACAAATTTGAAAAAAAATAAGAAAATATGTAGATTCTGGGACTTAAGTTAGTAGGTTTCCAGAAAAGGCCTAAAATACGTAGATCTACGTAAAAAGACGTAGAGTTGGCAACACTGGCAAAGAGTAAAGTAAGTATACCTTTTCTTTTAATGTTCTCCCTTTTTAGGGAAGGCAAGGGGAACTAAAGCCCATACAGCCTCGTCTTTAGTTTGTTTATTTTATATTGAAGAATAATTACTATGGTTGCTTTCCAATTACAGCATTATAGCGCATTATGCGGCATAATGCTTAACGTTGAGTGTTCCAACTACAGCAACGCTTCGCACAATTGAGCACTCTCAAAAGTGATGCTTTCGTGTGATGCGTGCAATGGTACCAACTTAGAGAAAGAAAATTAACGTGTTTTTTCTTTAAGTTGGCATTGATCGAAATCGAAATTTTTATTTATATGTTATCGTTAGTAATATTATTTATTGTTGAAAAATTATTAAAGCTTTCGTTTCATTAAATAGTTTTTTTTAAATAATCAAAGTTCATTCAAACTGTCAAAAAATAAATATAAGTATGGATGAAGGTACAAACATTGACTTTTTTTTTCAACACTGAACTTAGCGCACTCTGCTGGTGCATTTGAAAACTAATTCACGTTCCAATTAAGCATCAGCATAATTGGGCATTGCGCGGCACTGAGTCGCATTATGCTCTGTAATTGGAAAACATACTATGGTTGCTTTCCAATTACAGCATTATAGCGCATTATGCGGCATAATGCTTAACGTTGAGTGTTCCAACTACAGCAACTCTTCGCACAATTGAGCACTCTCAAAAGTGATGCTTTCGTGTGAAGCATACTAAGTATGCTTTCCAATTACAGAGCATAATGCGACTCAGTACCGCACAATGCCCAATTATGCTGATGCTTAATTGGAACGTGAATTAGTTTTCAAATGCACCAGCAGAGTGCGCTAAGTTCAGTGTTGAAAAAAAAAGTCAATGTTTGTACCTTCATCCATACTTATAATCAATTTTTAACAGTTTGAATGATTTTTGATTATTTAAAAAAACTTTTTAATGAAACGAAAGCTTTAATAATTTTTCAACAATAAATAATATTACTAACGATAACATAAAAATAAAACATTTCGATCAATGTCAACTTAAAGAAAAAACACTTGTTAATTTTCTATCTCATGTCATGTCATGTCTTAATAAGAGATTATTAAAATTGATTAAAATACAGGCAAAAAGTAAAATATTAGATAATTATTATAAAAAGTATTGTACACTATTAAATAAAGCTGTACAAATATCAAAAAAGATAGAAAACACTCATAAATATTCAAACTCAAAAAACAAAAGTAAAACTATGTGGCATATAATTAACAAAGAATGGAATTCAAAACCCCGACTACTTAAACAAAATATTGTGTTAAAATAGAACCAATCAATATATAAAGACCCAAAAATAATAGCGAATTTGTTTAATGACTACTTCTCAACAATCAGCAACACCCAAAAACTTACAAGCAGCGAACACTCAAAAATTGTAAACTCAATACAGAGTTCACTCTATTTACAATCTCTAGAGCCCAGAGACACTTACAAAATAATAAAAAATCTTAAAAGTAAATCTAGCTTTGGAGTCCATAAGCATGGGGGCTTAATTAAAAAATGTGCGGAAGAATTGACATTACCATACACACTATTAATAAATCAGTCCTTTCAGGAGGGATGTTTTCCAGATTCCCTAAAAATATCTGTAGTAAAGCCAATACACAAGAAGGGCGAACAAACCTTAGTAAGTAATTACCGTCCTATTGCACTCCTACCGACATCTGCTAAGATATTTGAAACAGCTATGGCTAATAAAATTATAGCATTTTTAGAAAAGTTTAAAGTTCTTCACAAAAATCAATATGGTTTCCGCAAAAACAAAACAACCACTCTAGCCGTCTATAAGTTATTAAAAAAAGTTTTTGATATAATTAATAATAAGAAACACGCAATAAGCTTATTACTCGATATGAGTAAAGCGTATGATAGAGTAAATTACAAAATTTTACTTGATAAACTCTACGGGCTCGGTATAAGGGGACTAGCATTTGAGTGGTTTAAATGTTATCTTCGGAATCGACACCAGAGCGTAGAAATACAAAATGTCAACTTCGAAACTGGAGAAATTAGACATATCAGATCTGATTTTACCCCTATCACCGGATCAATACCACAAGGTAGCGTTCTAGGTTGTATACTCTTTCTGATATACGTGAATGACCTGTCAGATTCAATTCCTTTTGATAATGTGCTTTATGCAGATGACGTTTCAGTAGTCTTTTCCTGCACAAGCACTGATTCACTTAAAGTAAAATTGGACGCGACATTAGATTCGTTTACAAAATGGCTAGAGTGTAACAATCTACAGCTTAACCTGGAGAAAACTAAATTAATGGAATATAGACCTCATCAAAAGACCCCATTAAACATCAACTACAAATACAAATCCAACAAATTAGAAACTGTAAACTCTGCAACCATGCTAGGGATAGAGCTAGACTCGCATTTAAACTGGAAACCACTTACTCAAAAGCTAACAACTCGATTGTCCTCTCTCGTATATGCACTGAGACAGTTGAAACGCAGTACTAACCTTAATACCACCCTTTCTGCATATCACGCATTTGTCCATTCCAGGCTGACCTATGGCATTATATTGTGGGGTAACTGCACGGATATTCATGATGTTTTTGTCCTCCAGAAAAAAATTATAAGAATACTTGCAAATATAAAACAGACAGACTCCTGCAAACCATACTTCAAAAAGTTTAAAATACTTACCATAACATGCCTATACATCTCTGAAGCCTGCAAGTTTGTGAGAAAACATATCGAATTATACTCCCCAGTAAAATTAGTAAGACGTAATGATCGCTACCAGAATAAACTGAAGCTCCCGTTTTCAAACTTGAAATTGGTATCTAATTCTCCACACTCCATGATAATTAAAATTTATAATCACATACCCAACAATATTAAAAATTTGGAAAACGATACAATTTTTGAAAAATGTCTAAAGGAATATCTTATTAATAAATCATATTATAATATATTAGAATTTTTCCAAGATAAACATATTTGATATATAATTTTAATGAAGTAATAAAAAAAAAATTGCATGACATACCTCTATATTATATTAAAAATTCTGAGTGTGAAAATTGTATATTAATATCTATAGTTTTTAAATTGTAAAATATATGTATTTTTTAATTTTAATTTTGGTAAGATGCGTGTTTAATAATTGAATTGAATTTTTTTATAATATATTTGATTGTTTGTTTAATTAATAATAATAATTTAAGTAAAATTGCAACGCCCTTGCAGGGTGTCACATGTTTGTACAGGTTATGATAATGTTGTTTTTTGTACTATCTGTGGCATGCAATAAAGAATAAATAAATAAATAAATAAATCTCTCTAAGTTGTTACGATTGCACGCATCACACGAAAGCATCACTTTTGAGAGTGCTCAATTGTGCGAAGCGTTGCTGTAGTTGGAACACTCAACGTTAAGCATTATGCCGCATAATGCGCTATAATGCTGTAATTGGAAAGCAACCTATATATATTTTAAAGAACGCACGGCGCTAGCATCACTATATTTTTTTTATCTTTTTTTCCCATCTTGGGAAAGGCAAAGGCAGAGCTATGCAGCCATAGTCTTTATTTAAAGGATTTTTTTGTGTTTATTTTTTCTATATTAGCGTCACTATATAGTTTGTGACATTCACAGAGATGTCCACAAACTAGCTAGAAATTAATTGTGAGGTAGCTGCATAGTGCCAGTGTAGCCACCTTGGTGGTTTTTCCACCAGAACTGGTGCTTTTTCACGGCTTCTAGTTGTATATTTTCATTATCTAGCGGGTACATTTTTTTTAGTGTTTTTAGTGGTTTTTTAACATGAAATCTAGCAACATATTTTTAAGGGGGAAATCCCCTAACTTTCACGAAATTTCATAATGTTCTATGGTTACTCTTATGGTTACAGGGGAATTCCTAAACGCGTTTGCCTGTTAAGGGCTTCCTTCAACCGTTCATTCTGTTTCAGGAATTACGTTTGCGTTCATTGTGTTGTTAAAAAGTGTAAAAGTTTGATTTGATAGAAACGTTTGTAACAGTGTGTGAACTCCTGAAGCTGTATGTTTAGGGTATTCAATTATATGTTATCATGGAAATTCTATCCAAGAAAAAGAATAACATTCAAAAGTATAGAAAAGAATGGGAATCACTTGTGGCGGCGACATCTACACGCCCCACATATAACTAACATAGAGGAAACAATCTAACGCCTCCTCAAGAGATGGCACTACCGGCGCTGCGTTCACAATGTAAGGAAGCCTACATCACGCAAGTGAAATTAGGCAGCCAACAGTTCATATTACGATGCCCGACCAACATCAGTCGGGCCGCGGCCCCCGAGCTACCATCACCCAGCTCGAAGGAAGATCTTCCCCTTTGGCCTTCCCACACAATCGACGAATTCCAAACCTGGCTTAAACCTTTAGCAGGTGTTGATGCGAAGGCGTTCTATTCATTTTGTAAAGCAAAATTATTAGCTCTGTAGTAAATTTGAGAAGACATGCTGAAACAAAAAAAGTACAAACAAAAACTGCAAATTTTATCCGGCAATCAAAAGATATCCTTGAAAAACACAAAATACTCTTTCAATCCACTACAAAAATCCACTACAACCACAACCAAACATCTTCAGCATCGACATCGGCTTCATTGACAGAAGCGTCGGCGTCTGTGAACGACGATGAAGTTATAGAAGATATAACATTTAACAATATTGAATTTTAAATTACACAATTTGTTTAAGATTTATTTCTTGATTATAAATAATGAATGTAAATATATATTTACCTGGTTTTATTTCATTCTTAAGTAGTACTAAGATAACTCTCTGAAAAGTTTTAAGTTAGTAAAAACAATATTGGTGTCGATTCTGGCGTGATTCTCTAAACTTAAAACTAAATTTAACATCAATCTCTCCTTTTCATTCCGTATAGAGAATGACAAGGATACACTGTTGTCAAATTTAAGTTTAGGTTTAGAGAATCGTGTCAGAATTGACACCATTGCCATTTTTTTTATTCATTTTTATTTCTGTAGCATCTCATACATATTCACTGATTATTTTATTTAAATTAGGGTTTTTTGTTATCAAAGATGTAATTGTAATTTAGCGGATTTTGGTGTATTTTATTAAATCCAAATTTTTGAAATCTGGCGATATTTTACCTTTGACTTGGCGCCTTAAAAAAATCCAAGGTGGCAACACTGCATAGTTCACATATAATGCGATTCAACTAAGAATAGGATCGACGGGGCGCCATATTGTGACGTCATAGCTGTCAATTCAAACGAAAAAGGTAGAGTGAGCAAAAAAGTTTTTATTTAATAAAAGTTATTTACTAAGATTACGTGAGAAAAAACATCCGATTTTTTAATAAAATTTATTTACTAAAATTGAGAAAAGAAAATAACCGATTTTTAATAATATTTATTTATGAAGACTGTGCGAGAAAAAACATTATTCAGAATAAAGCTCTTCAATTCCGCTCATCTCTGCATTACCGCCGGAGTAGTTATGACTAATCATGCACTATTACTAGGTCACATACGAACATGCATTCTATATGTAAACCAAAGTTTTAAATCGAGTTTCTGAACGCAATTTAATGTGACATTTGGTTGACGATTTAGATTATCAAACATTCATAGCCAAAGCTCAATAAATGAAAATAAAATATCAACCAATATTAATTAACAATATTTGTCATTGTTTGTTTACAAATGTTTGCATTGCTAAAAGAGGGTTCCAAGACTTTTTTGCAAGTCGTACTTTTCAAGCGACATTTGACAGATGGAGGTCCATTGGCTTTCCTATTCTTATTTGAATAGCATTATACTACTTACATACTACGTAGATGTAGCTACATTGGACCGTTTGATATTATTTTATCCTGCTTTTAATATTCAAATAATATTAAAAAAAAACTTCCCCTCCTCTTGTCATTGCTATTGGAAAACGAAGATACTCATGAACACCTTTATACCTTCATTCCTTCTACTTTTATGAACATTTATAGAGAAATTTACAATCAACGAAGAATGTTACTAATGTATAGGCTGTATGGACTTGTCAAAAGCCGTTAAATTTCTAAAAAAAACCTGGAGTTTTTGGAGAAAAAAACCAAGATTTCATGGAGTGTGGTTGGCGTCTTATTTTAATTATTCTTAAATTCGTTCATACTGGATATTGTGAAATAAAATTGGTGTGATTTTGTGTTACAACTGTCTGCGTAACTGAAGAATTAGTAGAATCGTCAAAATATACGCTATTCCGGTCAAGTGGACGTGAGAATTTTATTGTAGTATTGACTACCTCACAGAAGCTTATCGAAAAAGCCAGCTCGATACATTTCGTGCCAAACACTTCAAGAAACATTAGAATGCGTCACACCGACATTCTAATGTAAAAAGAAAAATAGAATAATTTGACTTAAGACTAGGCTGTATGGGCATTGTTCCCCTTGCCTTCCCTGAAAAGGGAGAACTTAACTAAAAAAAAACCTCAGATGGTTTAACTGTCAATTTAATTGAAGGAAAATGGGAAAAATAATCTAATTAAACCGAAAATTATGTTTCCATACATTGTTTAGTCATTTAGAATATTCCAAAATGTTCCCCTTAGTTAGACAGAGGGTTTTAAATAAGTACCTTAAAATATTGAGGTTAAGTATTGTCGACTACAGCAACTTACCCGATTTAAAGAAGTTAAATGTGGTCAGGACAGTGGAGAAGACAATAGATAACAATACCAGCATATTCATAGAGAGTCCTATACACGTGAAGGTGCAGCCCATCGATGTGAACGATTTGAAAGCTCACAACAAGTTGACTATGACTCTTTACAGTCAAGGTAAAGCTACGAGTGATTTTCAAGTGAAGCAGACCTCCAAGCGGCTAGAACTCCTAAATAAGAATGCCAGTTCTGATTTCAACGACGTATGTTTGATACATGTCCCCTACCACCTCAAGGTCCAAGTTACTACTACTGAAAACGCATCAGTGCATTTGTCTAAACTAGAAGGGGAGGATTTTATAGTAAAAACAGATAAAGGAGGTGTCAACGTCTCCGATTTGAAGGCACAGAATATTAAAGTCGATAGTGCAGAGGGGCAAGTGCAAACGGAAGGAAGACTGCAAGCTGCCAACATAGAGATCAAAACAGGTCTTAATTCCGGTATTAATTGTAACAACATTATGGCAAATTCCTTCATTGTAACTACACACGCTGGCCCAATATCTGTTAAGTCTTGTTACAGTGATAAGTCACATTTTACAACACTAATGGGCAATATTAGACTGGATCATCTACATCGGTCTGTGATGATAGATGTTATAAAACAAGGCAACTTGCACATAACTGGCTTCTCTGGGAACTTGCAGGCATCATTAAAAAGTGGAGAGGTGTTTATGCATGCTTCCCAATTGACTGACAAAAGCAGTATTTTCATTCATGAGAAGGGTAAAGTAGAGTTACTGATACATGATATTTTGAAGAATTTACCAGCGACAAATTTGATAGCGGAAAAAATTCAAGTGGATGAGAAAATATTGAAATTGGGCCGGTTCATGGACGATAGTCATCCTAAGAGGTTCCGGTTCGAAGGGGAGCCGCAGCACGAGTTGCACATAGTATGCAAAAATGGTTCTATTGAATTGAGAGAAACTGATATGCCATTTGAGATTTAGATATCCATTGTAGTGCTAGTAATTGGTATATATTACTGAGGAAGTATTAACAATATCCCCAGTTGGGTGTGAGGAGGACTTATTAAGAATGAGACATTTTGGTTTTAATTAAGAAGATGATATTAATTTATTTTATTAAACAGTATCATGTTTTGCTCATATATTTACAGTAATATGTTAATTATGTAGCGAATAATAAATATGATATTACTCTGAATAATGTGAGACTAACTTGTAGCGACATATTCATTCTTATGTAGATATTTATGCATTTATAACTAACATTGTACATTAATGTTTCTGACATTATGCATGGATTTAGATAGATTGTTTTGAACCTGTTGCTGTTTATTATCATCTGTTGTTGTGTCTTCCATGTGTGATAATAGTTAATTAATTAAGATATTACTAAATGGAAATTGTTTCATGTGATTTTTATGACAGTTCAAAACTGTTGAAATTAAATTATTTGTACTTACTTACATTTATGTTGAAATCTTTATGTAAATTTGTAGTAATAATGCTTTTATGTTAGTTAGGTACTTGTCAATTAGGAAAATTTTCATTTCTTTATTGTATATACATAATGAATGACAGTTGTTTATTTATATTTTTCCAGATATTTCTTTTTGTTCCTATACTATTGTAGTTGACTGCTTTATGTGATATGTTTCTATATGCTGCTAGTCCTGTATCTTATATGGAAATACTAGTGTTTAGATACTAGGTATTCTGTTACCACCAAATATTTGTGTAAACAATAATGTTGAAATGTTAATTATTAAAAATAATATCATGGTAATTAACAGTAATTTGAAAAGACGCATGACGTCACGTTTGAGTACACTTATAAGTGAAAATTCACTCAAATGTGACGTCATGAGCCCCTCTCCCAAACTTTGACGCGCTATAACTTTGTCATTTTTTGGTTGATTGCCCAAAGAAAAAATATGTGTCCATTATTTTTTGATCATCTAACTGACGGACTAAATAGAATTTCGTTTACTGTACCCCGTCATCACCCCTATTAAGAATAATGTAACAGTAATAACTTGTAGGGTTCTAGGCGTTAGGGTAAGGAGCCTACCTACTGGATACCTAATCTACTACTGAGCTTTTTAAATACCCTTTAATAAGTGATTGTATAGACTTAATAATTTGAGTTTAATTGATTTAAAAAAAATGACATAGTACGCTATACAGATCAGTATTAGATCTCAAACCACTTGTGTGTGTGGGAATTGTAATACTAATGAAATTACAAACACCCAGACCTCACAAAATATCGAAAGTAAGTTCTACATACGTACTTACGTACATACATAGTAAGTTGGAGAGGTAGGGCATACCGGACTTCCCGCTCGAATTAGAGCGCCCGCCTGGGGAAGTAACCTAAAGGGCCCCATATACGGAACGATTCGTCGTTGCGATCGATCTGAAGGAAATCGTCAACGATCGATCGTTCAGAAATGCCACTACATACACGAAACACGTGACACACGATCCATCGTTTCGATTGGTCTGAAACGACGAATCGTACAGATCAATCGTTCCGTATATGGGCCCCTTTACAAGAGTAAAATAACACTTTATTCTGGTTGTTGTTGTGTTTCTATGGGCGAGTAAGGTTTCTCCGCTAGGTAGGGGATTGGGTCAGGGTAGGAAACGGTGCGAGTAAAGGGCCCCATATACGGAACGATTCGTCGTTGCGATCGATCTGAAGGTAATCGTCAACACGAAACACTGTCGATCGATCGTTTACGATATTCATGATTGCATGGGATTTGGTTGCGATTTGCGATATCGTCTTCGATTAAGTAAATCGTTAACGATCTTGACATACACTGTCGATCCATCGTTTCGATCGGTCTGAAACGACGGATCGTACAGATCAATCGTACCGTATATGGGACACTGACGATCGAGCGTTTACGATATTCATGATTGCATGGGATTTGGTTGCGATTTGCGATATCGTCTTCGATTAAGTAAATCGTTAACGATCTTGACATACACTGTCGATCCATCGTTTCGATCGGTCTGAAATGACGGATCGTACAGATCAATCGTACCGTATATGGGACACTGACGATCGATCGTTTACGGTATTCGTGATTGCATGGGTTTTTGTTGCGATCTCCGATATCGTCTGCGATTAAGTAAATCGTTAACGATCTTGACATACACTGATGTCGATTCTGGCATGATTCTCTAAAGCTAAACTTAAAATTGACAACAGTGCATCCTTGTCATTCTCTATACAGAATGAAAAGGAGAGACTGATGTTAAATTTAGTTTTAAGTTTAGAGAATGACGCTAGAATCGACACCACTGTCGATCCATCGTTTCGTTTGGTCTGAAACGACGGATCGTACAGATCAATCGTTCCGTATATGGGCCCCTTAAAGGGGCCATGATTGCATGGGTTTTTGTAACGAGATCGCAACAAAAACCCATGCAATCATGAATATCGTAAACGATCGATCGTCAGTGTCCCATATACGATACGATTGATCTGTACCAATTGTCTGTATTGATCTTAACGATTTCCTTCAGATCGGTCGCAACGACGAATCGTTCCGTATATGGGGCCCTTATTATTTTATGGTATCACAAGCGTCTATACGCTATGGTGACCGCTTGTTTGCCATCTTTTGAACATAAAAAAAATACATTGGCCTGGCCGGGCGTATCTATATTTATTTATTTATGATCAGTCTACATAGGCCCATAGATAAATACCTTATCGTCGAACATATCTACAGATATAAAACATTATTGTTAGTAAATAAAATTAGTAAGTATGGTAGTAAACACCTAATTAACTCGTATAGCTGGCGACGTGCGACGCGTAGTGGTATCGGGTAACTGGCTTTCGGCCAAAGTTCTTCTTTCATAAAAGTCGCTAGATGTTCGGTCGGCACCTTCACCACAAATGAATTAAAATTCACATTGTGACGGGACTCCAACCGTGCGACCCGCAGGGAGAACTTCGTCTTTACTAGCAGGTACATACTCTACGATCTCTTCCTTCGTAGAGTAATGCAGTCGGGGCTCGTATAGTGGCGTCGTCGGTATTGCAGGACGCAGCAAGTGATTCGGTCCGGTCGGGGCAACACCACACAAATTGCGGCAAGCGGGCTTCGTCTTCTTCCTTTCTACCTTGATGAAGCCCTCTTCGTCGCAAATCTGATTTAAAACATTGCTACATACGAGTATATGACCACTATGAAAACCTGTATAATAAATAAATAAATAAATATTTCCAACACTCACACCAATTAGCCTAGCCCCAAAGTATGCACTATAAGGCTTGTGTTATGGGATGCTAGGGTAACGGATAGAATACATATACTGTACACATATAAGTATATTTATATAGAAATAGATATTAAACATCCATGACTGGAGTACAAATGCTCGTATTCATCACACAAACATCTGCCCCCACCGGGATTCGAACCCGAGACCTCTCGAGTCGGCGACACCATGAAACCCGGCGTACAAACCACTCGGCCACGGAGGTCGTCTAATAATATAAGATTATTGCGCGATTACATTTAGTCGCAAGCCCGAATACCAATGGAATTCGGATAAACGATTAAGTGTTAAAGAACGGAGTCGAGTATGTCCGTGTTCGGGTAGGTTTCCTTTTGTTTCACCGTCTTCCAGTGTAAATATTGCTAATGTCTTTCATTGACGACCTCCGTGGTCGAGTGGTTTATACTCCGGGTTTCATGGTGTCGCCGACTCGAGAGGTCCCGGGTTCAAATCCCGGTGGGGGCAGATGTTTGTGTGATGAATACTAGCATTTGTACTCCAGTCATGGATGTTTAATATGTATATCTATAAGAATAATCTTATATATGTACAGTATATGTATTCTATCCGTTACCCTAGTATCCCATAACACAAGCCTTATTTATAGTGCTTACATTGGGGCTAGGCTAATTGGTGTGAGTGTTGGAAATATTTATTTATTATTTATTTACTAATCGCTCACGACCAAAGGTAATAGCGGCATTATTCCAATGCAGACTTTTATTTACAGTCCTATTTAACGACAAGTGTAATTAAAATCTAATAATACAAATAGCTAATGGGCGAGCAGTGTTGATCTGTTTACCTGCTGCCTATAATTAGCTAAACATCCTTGTTTATTTTTTAGATTTTAGGTGATTGGTAATTGGGAGCAAAGATGAATGCTTAGTAGCTACAGCGGCGCCGGCGTCGTGTAGATAACGAGGTAATTTATATGCGGTGGTTAGAACCGCGCGCGTCAGTCACCGATAGTCACTTCGTCCGCCGCCATGCCGGCTTGCGCGCTCGAATATAGCCGCCTCGCGCGATCTAACACAGAGTTAGTATTTTCGCCGCGAGTCAAACGATGCTCTCATCAGCCGCCGCCCTTCACAGCCCTCCGGCGCTCCTTTTCCTCGACCTTCTCGTTGATACCAGAGGAACGCGCCGTTTCGCCCGAGAGACCTCCGCCGCTCCAGAGGATTATACGCATCCTCACCTGGGGACCACGACTCTGCTTCCGGCCGCTGTTTGCGCTGCTCAGTTTCATAGCTCACCCAGCGTGGAAACAAATTTTAGTGGTCCTCCCGACGCTGTGGATCGCCGCATCTCTCTTTATTTTTTGGAAATGCATCCAGTGCCCACTCGGACTCCTGAAGATGGTCGGCTACGCGCTCAGCTCGAAGAATCCCAATAAACCTCGCACTGTACTCATCAGCGGAGGCAGTTCAGTGCAAGCGTTACATTTAGCCAGAAACTTCCACTCTGCTGGCGCGAGGGTGGTCGCCTTCGAGATAGAAGGACAGTTCTCTTTATTGAAGTATTCTGCAGCAGTGAATAAATTCTTTACTGTGCCGAGACCGAATCCTGCCGATCCTCTCGCGTATGCGAGGGCGTTAAGAGAAATTGTCGATAGAGAATCTGTCGTGTTCTACGTGCCCGTGAGTTCAACCACCCCAGCATACTATGACGCATTGGCGAAGCCACTACTAGAAGTAGTCGGTTGCCAGTGCTTCGTGCCTTGCGCTCGCGACGTGGTCACCCTGGACGATCCGTTGGAGTTGATACGCGTGTGTCGTGCTGCGGGATTGGCGACGCCACAATTTTGGGTTGTGACCAGTGAAGACGATGTTCGAGTGTGGTATGAAAGTGGAGCGGCTAAAGAAGGCCGTCATTTTATTGCGAGTGCTGGAGCTCGGGGGGCGAGGGACCGATTGCGGTTTGTCATGCCCAACGAAAAGGGACACTTCAGATTCCCGAGAGAAATAAGCGTAGAGAAGCCTTGGGTAATAGTCAGAGAACCGAAGGGAGAAAGAATAGTGACCTGCACTACGTTGAGGGAGTCACAGGCAGCCAACAACGTGACTTGCCGCGTGGATTCCGTGCGCAAAGGTTTGGTGCCGCAGAAAGATGATGAGGCCGATGCATGGGTACAACGATTTGTATCTCATTTAGCACCGGCGCGACCGATGACAGGCCACGTGTCCTTCAGGCTCGTGCGGGAGGAAGGTACCACCAACGGACACAACAACAGACTCGTGGCGATAGGAGCTCGCGTTGGAGTTTCTTTGCCGTACTTATGTCAAGGTCCCACGCGGTGCGGCCACACCGCGGCTGTGGGCAAAATATTGGACACTGTTTTGGACACGCGAGAAGCTCTGTTCGCGTTTTGGGATCCTCTGCCTTATTGTGCTTATTATCAGTCCCGTTTGCCTGATGAGCGGCGTTCGTTACCGCCGGAGCCGTGCAAGACCCCACCGAACGTTCCTCTCTGAAGGCTCAGTGCTTAACCTAAGGTTTATTTATTAAGACACTCAAGTACCTGAATCGTGCAAGAGTGGGAGCTGAGCTCCGTCAGTGCCATATCTTTGTGTCTCGCTCCGCGTCGCTCGTTCTCTTTTCCTCTGAGAATGGCAGTTAGACATTGCGGTCGGGGGACGATACGACTTGTTTGTAACTACTAAGTAGATTATTATAAGTGCCTACATAAATATTATTGTAGACTTTATAAATGTTTGATTTAAATAATAATCTTTAAGAAATAAAAATATGTGGTCTTCAAGGGGCATTGTTTTATTTTGAACAGTATTTTTTATCAGAGTACAGAGTTGCTGTGTAAGTAGCAGTGTTTAGATATCCAACGACTATATTTATCGTTCGGCACTTTGCAATCGCTTATGAATCGTAAATGTCAAGAGTTCAAAATAATAATATCGTTAAGTATAGTTCCGTGATGAAAATAAATACAAAACTGAAAACATTATAATTATCATATTAACAAACATCTTGAGATCTATCTTTATTCGTTAGTATATTAAAATAAGTTATCGATGGATAATGGTAATAATAGCGATTCATTGTACTCAGTGTTTCAAATTGTGGAATGACAGACTAAGTTTGTGATGAGTTGCCAAGCGTTGTAGACGAGTGGCCGTATTTCAATTCAAGCTAATAAACACTAACTTCAAGTATAAAAATAAACGAGAGTAAATAAAATCAAAGGTTCTTTTAGCGTAACACTCGCAAGTTTAGATTAAAAGTTTCTAACAAGTCATTGTCTAAAATTATTTTGATTTTTAATCGTTTCAAGTTTTGCTATGAACCCTGATCACACCAACATGCCCCCCTGGTCCACGGGTAATTTTGTTTATCCGTTATACCACGGTTCTAAACAGTGTTCGCTAGTGGGTCTAACCGTTTAAAAAAAACCATTTTAGAATGAATGTCACTTGCCAATACCCTCCCTTGTAAACTTCATGAGTTGAGTTCATGAATATAAACTAGATTACATTCAAGACTTAAATTAAGTTTGGTGGGTTGAATGAAACACTGCTACGCCTCCAAAACGGAACATTCGTGTGCAAGTCTGACTCGCACACGAATGTTCCGTATAACTCTCGGCACGAAGCTCTAGCGGTGACCGTTATTGCGCAGAAGTAAAAATTAAGATGTCTTAGGGGGGAACGAGGTGCGCGGGTGGGCGTGCGTTGCACCGATCGGCTCTCCAGTCGTACCCATGCGCAGCTGTCCCCTCCTTTGCTATTCACCAATCGCTCAATAGTTGTAATGATACTTGTAAAAATAATTGAAGGTAACTAAACCACTTTAGTATTATGTTAATACTTATGATATTGAATCGTATTTGTACTAAGCACACCGGACAAATCCCTGCGACTTATGGCGTGCTTTTTAGATCTATTTTTAATATGAAATCCACAAAAAAAAAAACTTTTGTTTTTATAAACGGCAAAGGAAATACGGAAATCGTGAAAATTTCAACTACCTTTATATCTTTAGGGTTCAAAAGATACAACCATCAGAAAAAAATAAAGATTTATTTCTGGGCCGCAAGCAGGACAGCGGAGGCGGTAGTTGCGTTGTCACTATTTTTGCAAGGAATTTTAAAAGTTGTGCAACTAAGTTTCTTCCTTATGTATCTACTTAAAATATCAATTCTTTCTCCTGATTCCCAATCGCACTGCCGGCGAGAACTCGCTTTAATATATTGTCGCTGAGCGACAAGAGCTATTAAAGATAATACTCGTTTAGCGCTAGCTACTCATCGATGCTCGTTTGTCACTCAGAACGCGCGCACGTGCAATTTTGTTATGACTGCCTCCGCGAGCGAGTAACACGTGTTGCTAGCCAACTCGTTTCTATTTCAACTCGCTGCTCGGTCATCGTCGTCGTGCGACAAGTGCCTAAATAATAATAATAAATATTTCCAACACTCACACCAATTAGCCTAGCCCCAAAGTAAGCACTATAATGCTTGTGTTATGGGATGCTAGGGTAACTGATAGAATACATATACTGATACATATAGTAGATTAATATAGAAATACATCAGCATCATCATTATCGACCCATGTTCGTCCACTGCTGGACATAGTTCTCCCCTAATGCACGTCACTGCTTCCGATTTTCTGCCACTCTCATCCAGCCCACTCCAGCCAGCCTACGAATGCCATCATCCCATCTTGTCTCAGGGCGTCCCACACTACGTTTACCGAGTCGCGGTCTCCACTCAAGAAATACATATTAAACATAAATACAGACTGAAGTACAAGTGCGCATTCGTATTCATCACACAAACATCTGCCCCCACAGGGTCTCACCGGGACCTCTCGAGTAGTCGACACCTTGAAACCCTGCGTTCAAACCACTCGGCCACGGAGGTCGGCCAAAGCTACGCATAGTAACTGCACAAAATAGATTATAGTAACTGCTGGTAACTGCCTAGTTCCTGTTGAGATGATAAGACTATTTATAATTATTTTATTCATTGGTGCTTTATAGATTATTGCCAGCGTGATTGTACCTTATTATCGTTAATTACCTATGCCTACCTAGTGGTGGTGTACCTAGTCATCATTTAACTATTTGTTTCCATAACAAGATATAATCGGTCTTTTAATAGATTAATGTATAAATTACTAATTAGAAAGCACTTACTGACTTACATGCTTAATTTTACCATCAGAAAGGCATTGTTAGTATAATATTTCTTCTGCCGCATCTCCAGCAGCGCTATGCTTTTTTATGTATGATATTTCTCCTGTCGCTCCTCGAGCAGCGTTGTCCTTCATTAAGTATGATATTTCTTCTGCCGCTCCTCCAGCAGCGTTGTGCTTTTTTATGTATGATATTTCTCCTGCCGCCCCTCGAGCAGTGTTGTGCTTTTTTATGTATGATATTTCTCCTGTCGCTCCTCGAGCAGCGTTGTCCTTTATTAAGTATGATATTTCTTCTGCCGCTCCTCCAGCAGCGCTGTGCTTGTTTTATGTATGATGGTATTTCTCCTGCCGCTCCTCGAGCAGCGTTGTGCTTTTTTATGTATGATATTTCTCCTGTCGCTCCTCGAGCAGTGTTGTGCTTTTTTATGTATGATATTTCTCCTGTCGCTCCTCGAGCAGCGTTGTCCTTTATTAAGTATGATATTTCTTCTGCCGCTCCTCCAGCAGCGCTGTGCTTGTTTTATGTATGATGGTATTTCTCCTGCCGCTCCTCGAGCAGCGTTGTCCTTTTTTAAGTATGATATTTCTTCAGCCGCTGCTCCAGCAGCGCTGTACTTTCTTATGTATGATATTTCTCCTGCCGCTCCTCGAGCAGCGTTGTCCTTTTTTAAGTATGATATTTCTTCTGCCGCTCCTCCAGCACCGCTGTGTCTTTTTATGAATGATATTTCTCCTGCCGCTCCTCGAGCAGTGTTGTGCTTTTTTATATATGATATTTCTCTTGTCGCTCCTCGAGCAGCGTTGTCCTTTATTAAGTATGATATTTCTTCTGCCGCTCCTCCAGCAGCGGTGTGCATTTTTATGTATGATATTTCTCCTGTCGCTCCTAGAGCAGCGTTGTGCTTTTTTAAGTACGATATTTCTTCCGCCGCTTCTCGAGTAGCGCGTTGTACTTTTTAACCAACTTCAAAAAGGAGAAGGTTCTATATTCGACTGTTTTTTTTAATGTACTTATGTTCTCCTACTTATCGACTTATTCGCTAGTGGAAACGTCAATTTTTCAACAACAAAACCCAAGTTTTCGTGTCTGTTTTTCATGAATAACTCTATACATAAGTTTTTTTATAGAAACAATATTCAGAGTAATAAAAACGTGGCTCATAAAAAACAAAAAAAAGGGTTTAATAACTTATTATTAAATCACTTGACCGTAATTCGAAACTTTCATGAGATAGGCACTTCCATTTCGTTTTCTCTTTTAGTTCACTTCCGGTGAACCTCCCGCCATCACCAGGGGTGGGGAGATCAGGATTAGAGGGGGGGAAGGATGATTGGCGGCTTGTTGTCCGTCGAGTAAACTTGTGCAGAGCACACGTTATACTTAATACTAACATTTCTACCCTCAAGTGTCTGTATCTATATATATAAAACTCAAAGGTGACTGTCTGACATAGTGATCTATCAACGCACAGCCCAAACCACTGGACGGATCGGGCTGAAATTTGCCATGCAGGTAGATGTTATGACGTAGGCATCCGCTAAGAAAGGATTTTGATCAATTCTACCCCGAAGCGAAGCGACACTAGTTAAAAATATAATAAGATAAAATAACGTAGATACGATTCGTTAATAATAATGGCTGAGTAAGTAAATACTCTTATATTTATAACGGTTTTACCGTTTGATTATTATGATTTCTTTAAAAATTCATTTTGTTTTGTAGAAATTAAAATTGAACCTACTTATGTTGATTGCGTTTTGTTTATTGTGCACTGAATATTATTTATTATCTTTCTTTTTAAGTACCAATTAATAACAACCTCTTATCTTTAATGGTTTTAAAGTTCGATTTTCATTTAAAGATGGTGGTCATTCGATCACGATACATAGTTCACGGAAATATTATGTTTTAGTATTTCCAATTTATTTTATAGAAATTGCTGCATACATTGTTTTATGAACAAAACAGTTGTTTTAACTTTTTCCTATTTCAGTAATAACTTTGGAAATTTATCGGAACTTATAAATGGAAATAATGCTAACGGTGACTCCACTAGCTGCAGTGGCTCCAGAACAAGTGATACTACAATTTCCTGTTCTGAAGCAAGTGTTCCAAAACGCAAACGTTCTAAACGTCACCGGCATAAAAAAATATGGGTGCGTGTACTTAAGTACGCGCGTGAGAAGTTATACTTCTTTTTGGAATTATTAAAAATAGTTTTTAATTGCATGCAGATAATTAATTACAATAAGATAATAAAAGGATTGGAAAAGGATAGTCAACGCAGTCAATAAAGTTCAGTTTTAATTTGAAAAATTTAATAAATAATCAAAATATTCAATTTAAATCACTACTGAATAAAATTTATTAGCACATATAAATTTCGCATTTGTATAACATTATAACACGTGTTAAGAATATAGAAACTAGAAACATGTGGATAAATATTATAAATATGAAAAC